TAACGTTTGTTTGCAACAAGTAACGCGCATCTGTATCTGTAGCTCAATCTGTATCTGCGGCAGTGTTTGCCGGGCCAAAGAGTTGGTTACCTGTAGTGGCCATGCTACCTGCGCACAGGTAGGCGTATGCATGTATCCCATCCCCAGCATGTGTGTCCATGTGCCCATGTCCTTCGTCTTCTGCCATGGATGCAGCGGTCAGCAGAGGCAGCATCATTATGTTCTGGTATATATATTTATATATAGATATACATATACAGGTTGTCAAATATCTCCCTTCCGCCTTTATGTCTTTTGAATTTTGCAGCTATGTATATATGGGTTTGCTATGAATATTGCGTTCAACAGTTATAGAAGTGTAAAAATGGAGTTTACTAACGCGGAAATTCGCGATATTTTAAATTTTTTAATGGAGTATTATAAAGTTGCTATCTAGAACAAATCAGCGCTTATTTGAAATAAATCCGATCACTGTAACACTTTTTTAAAGCATTGAATAAAGAGTAAAAAAACGTAAGGGAAATATTTGACAAACTTATATTTATATATATATATATGCCCATGCAGACTTTATATAAGGGCCAGCAGCAGATTGTGATTGTGTCTCCTGGTATGACTGGGCAACTTGGTCTTGGTTATGGGGTAGCTGTAGCTAAAAGCGTCGGACTCGTCTGCCTTTGCTTAATGGTTTTAGGAAATCGAAAATTAAATAATTTATCTCGATTTTATGACGTTACAAGCAGGTTTTTATACCCCTCTTCTCCCATCCAGCATGCGATAAATCTTCGGCTTACAATCAGGAGAAATGCTGCAAGAACAAAAGGAAAAACAAAAAAAAAACCAAAAACAAACATGCCTAGTGCAATGCTTTCAAGTCGTTGGTAATTTGAATAGCCACAGTTCTAATGCCATAAAAAACGATGCTATTCGTGGCCCCTGACCCTCGTTGTCGTAATCAAAATCCCCCAGTGAATCAACCGTAGAGGGGAACTATTTAAAAAAAACCCCATCTTGACTTGCTCATTATTTTCCTCGTTTTTTTCTTGGCTTTTTTTTTTGGCTGGTCATCGCTCTCAAGTGGTTCGTTCGCGTCGAGATTGATTCGAAAGAAAGGTGCAGAGAAAGTGGTAAAGAGGCAGCGGTCTTGGACCAAGTGGGCTGTCACTGGGCCTTCGCGTTTACACTGCAAAAATACCATGTTTCTTTTTTGCATAAAAAATGGAACAAATCCAAGAATATTAAATTATTATTTATTTTTGCTCAATACAACTTCAAGTTTGCATCTTTATATTTAGCATGAATAATGTTTGCAAACAATATAAATTGATCATTTTAATAATTTCTTATTTACAAATTGTAAGCTTAAAATTACAAACTAAGATCACATAGAGGAATAGTAGCCATAGCTACTTTGGTATTTGGCCGTGATATTTAGAAATATCTTATAATATAGTTATGTTTTTATATGTGTACTCATTTGATGTTGGAGGACAAGGATTGACTTGACGCTCCAGTCGCATGTGCTCGCATCGTTAGCAATTGATGGAAAAGTTTTCGGTTTAATCTGGACAGGCAGCTGGTACAGTTTTGATAATGTCCAAGATACTTTGTGGTCACTTTGATGTGGTTTTTACGGGCTTCAAGTGGATGAATGCATGGGTATAATCGGCGAAACCCGAAGATGACAATTCAGCTTAGCTTGACATTAAGTCTTATTCAAGTGCCACTTGACTTTGGTTCAAATGTTGTAGTTTCTTTTCTTCCTTTAAAAAAATTGACATGAAATTTACGATTCGAAACGATATTAAAATTTGGTTGGAACAAGATAACACCCTCTAGGTCGAAAAGTTAGCTTATTTCACGATTTTGCCTGAAGAAGCAATGAAATTAATTGAATTTAACAAGTATTTTTCTTTCTTATACTTAAGTATTCACAATTTATTTTGTGATCAAAACTAGAAAGAAATGTTTTTTAATTCTTATTAAACGTAAACTTATTACTATTTCAGTTTTCCAATAAAAGGAATACGAAATATTTCAAAAGCTTTTTTCTGTTTGATTTTTCAATAAAATATTTATTTATAAAAGCTTTTTCTGTTCTTATTTTATTTCATGCACTTGTTTTCAAGTCATAAAATATTTTCTATCGTTTACGAGCTCAACATATTGTCCCCGAAAAGTCATCATAGCCTGGCAAATACCGGAATACTTTTATCCTTTTAAAAATGTAAATAAAATTGCTATTCATTCAACTAAATTCTAGTTTTATTTGGCTTAATCACTATGAAACAAACTTAAGGGAAACTCTAAAGTCCTTAAATTTTTCCTAGTAGAGCACCACCTCCTCGATGCCATACCACGTGGTAGAGTAAATGGGCTTTATATCGCGCTTTTCCACAATATTCGCTAGCTGCGGCAGCAGATTGGCCAAATCGAATAAGCTATCCTCGTAGAAGGAGAGAAGATCGGACCACTTGGAAAGCGTTTCGAGGAGCGCTTCGTCCTTGGAGATGCTCAGCAGGGTGAAGTGGGAGGTCAAAAGGCAGCCAAACCATTGCAGGGCCTGGACTTCCGTTTGGATCAGCGAGGAATCCCGGTTGGGCCGTTCCTCTAGCTGGGCTCTGGGATCGTTGACCAGGTCGTACAGGTGGTTCATCAGGTGCTGGACATGAGAGAGCTCCAGCCGATGGCGCAGATGTCTCTCGATACCGCTGGCATCAAAACTGCAGGCTAGCACTGCATTCAGCAGCTCTTTTTTGGACTGGTTCGTCTCCATGGGTTCCACTTTGGCATCGCCATTAAGGACAGGGGTTTTCGTCCATTTATCTAGAGCAAAACGCAACGACCAGGCCAGCATTCTTTCCGAGATGTTGCTGTAACGCCGCAGGCACATTAGCACATGCTCTGTGTTTCCGGTCTTGATGAATAGGGTCAATATCTTCTCGATAATCTCCTCTTCGCCCGCTCCACTTCGCTCCAACTGCCGCACCAAGGCCTGCACAGCTGTGTTCTGTGGGCCCGCATCAAAGAAGTTCGTCATAAGAGTGACGCTCACATCCTCCAGTCCATTCTCGCAGCTTGTGGTCTCTCCATGGACATGTTGCTTAACGATTTCGTCCATCTCCTGGTCCACAAACTCAGGAGGCTCGTAGGCCAACGCCCTGCCATCTGCCGTTTCGGCCTCCACTGTGGGCATCAGCTTATTCAACTTGGATTTCACAGAGTTATAATTGAAGGGCTTTGTGCTGCCACCGAACTTGATGATCGACTCCAGTTGCTCCTCCTCGTTAATGTGATCCAGTTCGATGGGCGTGAGGTGGGTGTCGCTGAACTGGGAGCCCAGCATGTCCACCAGCACCTCACGGTTCATACGGTACCGCACGGCGGCTATATTGTGACCCATGGCCAGCAGAATGTGCTCGTCGCCGGCCCAAAGGCGGGAGAAGTCCAGGTACACCTTGAAGTACTGCTTGGCATTGACCACCTTGAACTGCGTGTTGTAGACCAACAGCGAGGCACCCTCCTGTCCGTAGTTGGCGCCGTAGATGGCAGCAAAGTTCCGCGACACTCCGTGCACAGATAGATTGCTCTCCACATTCAGCTCGGCCAGCATGGACACGAATTGTCCGGGTGATCGCTCCGCGGTACGCTCCGCCAGATTTAGCATGAAGATGCGCTTGTCGGACCCTAGAAAATAAGGCATTTTATAGTAAGCGATAGAAATTAGACAGGAACAGGCATCTATTTCGTTGAAATACTTACAAATAGTCAGCAGTTGAGGAGCTGCATCGCCTTCCACGACGGCGTAGCCTGTGAGGCGCACTTCCTCCCGCTTGATGAGGTACTCCCGCCTTTTGGCGGTGGTCAATGAAAGTCGGATGAGCTGTAGTTCGCCGGTGGCCTTTGTTTCCTCGAAGTAGGTGAGCACCTGTTGGCCCTGGGCCAATGTGTAGACCTTGGGCTTGCTAATGACCTTGCTGGCGGCCAAGGCCAGCTGCTCGGCCGTGTCCTCCTTCTGATCCTTGCGAGAGGTCAACGCCTGCGAGAGGGTTTGGCAGTCGCCATCGCTGTAGAGGACCAAGGCCTCCTGGCTGGTTTCCACCAGGTGGGCAATGCTTTTTTGGAACTGCAAGGGAAATTAAGGTTATAACTAATATATTTAAGGGACTTTGGGGTGCCCTTACCTTCAGCTTCTTGCACTTGGCTACATCACTGGTGTCCACATCCCAAAGTCGCAGCGAGTGGTTACCAAAGACGCCCACATATTTCTGGCTGTTGGGATCGTAGATAACCTTGGACGATAGCTTCTCCGGCAGGGACCAACTGAGCAACTGTTTTTGTGTACTGATCTGTAAGGAAACGTATTATTTATAGGAGAATCATCTTATTGTGGGGCCGAAACTCACGTTCAAAACGACAACCACATTGCGTGCCAGTGTGGTCACCACATTGCCCTTCTCCTTGTCGGAAGCCAGGCCCAGGAACTCCTTGGGATCTGGTATGGGAAACAGATTGTAGTAGGACAGAAACTTGGACATTTCTAAAGTAAATCTGTTTTTTCTGAATCAATAACAATTCAACACGTGCAGAGCGGCAAAATATTGGATTAGGGGTGGGAAAGAAACGACGACACCCTGATGTTTTTAAAATATCGGGCCTATCGATGTTATTCCATCTCTAACGTTTGGCTAATAGCGTATTCACACTATCGACTTCTCTGCGACAGAGACCAATTTCCATAAAAACTAATTTTTCATACTTATAAAGCTACAACTTGCTGTTGCAACTAGTATTCGCCCTGCAATTCGGTTGGTACTTAGTATTTGTAAAGTGGAAAGTTTGGAAAGAGGGCATTAGGATTATGTACCTGCTACATCGATGTTAGGAAACGACGAATATTGGGCAGCGCTGCGGCAGAGGGAATGCAGAGCAGAGATGGGAAGACATCGCCGTTGCCCAGCCAATCATCGATAAGACCGATGTTTTGAAAACATCGATGACACCGATGTAACATCGATGAGTCGCCACATGTAACCTCTAACCGAAAGAAGAAGAAATGGGTGGAAAGACAAAACAAGCGCCGCGCACCAAAAATAATGCAAAGGTAAGGCGTAATTGGGCCAAAATATAGTATTTAACCATGAATTCTGCCCTCCCGCACACTTAGCCCTCGAGCAGCAGCCGCACAGCCGAGCTGCTGGGCAGCTCCACGCCCATTTTCGTGGGCTTCTCGGCGCAGGCGGATGGCGGTGGCCTGGTTCCATTTGCTCCGGGATTCGCCAGTGCCGAACAAATGCCCGATAGCTTCGATGCGGCCATCAGCCCCCAAACGCAGATCATTCTGCGCAAGCTGTCGAAGAAGGACCCCATGACCAAGAAGAAGGCGCTGCAGGAGCTGCACGAACTGATCGAACAGTCGGACGTGGAGGCCCTCAAGAACATCCTGCCGCTGTGGCCCAAGTACTATCTGAATCTGGCTAGCGATCCGGAGCACAATGTCCGGGAACTGACACAGACGGTGCTGCAGTTGCTCATGGCCAAGTGCAAGAAGGCGATGGCTCCGTACCTCAAGTTGCTGGTGCCCGTCTGGCTGGGCAGTCGCTTCGATACCTATGCTCCTGCGGCCAGCATCGCCAGCCAATCGTTCCGAGACACCTTTGCGGGCAATGCCAACCGCACCCGCGAGGTTTGCCTGCACTGCCAGGTGGAGATCCTCGAGTACGCCACCCGCAACCTGACTTTCCACACAGCCGCCACTCTGTCGATCGGGAAAAGTCTCACGCCGGAGGAGGCGGAACAGAAGTACCAGCGCGTGGTCATCAGCAGCCTCAAGCTGTTGTCCTTCTTCCTGGAGCAAACGGCACAGACGGAGGAGCTCAGTCAGGTCAAGGAGGGATTCGTAACCCTGGTGTCGCACCAGAAGTTCTGGAGCTTTGCCAAGCACAAAGTGCCGCCAATAAAGTGAGTAATCTTACAACTTGTGAAATTCGTAATATGAATCATCTTTTGACCAATCTAATTATGATTTAGGGCCGCCTGGTTTGAGTGCATCTATCATGTCCTGCAATCTGTTGCCCTCTTAGAGGTAATCTCGCCCCAGAAGTCGCAACTGACTACCCTCTGTTTCCAATTTATAGACGATGCTGATCCCGTAGTGGCTCCTCACATTTGGGGATGTGTTTTGCTTCTACAAAGTAACTACGAAGATTGGTAAGAATATATACCCCTACTATATTTCCAAACTTTTTTTAAATAATTATAATTTGCAGGTTTGTTCCGCTCAACATTCGCAAGGCTCTCCTTCCCAAACTGTCGTCCCTGCTCCGCAATGGTTTCAATCGCAATGCCCAGGCCATCTGTCCCAATCTGCTGCCATTTCTATCCAAGATCACGCCAGACTCCCTTCAAGATTTCGATATCTACGAGTTCTATCAGCGCTTCTTTGACGACATGAAACTGGCTGTCACGGAAAAGTTCGATCCCCCGCTGCCCAAATCCGATTGTACAGTCATTCACAACGCCTATTTCGAGTGCCTGCGTTTCCTGCTCCAGCAGATCAACAACAACAAGGAACGGGATCAGAAAGTGGAGGAATTCGCCTCCAGCTTACTGGAGAACAATGTACTGGACCCCATTAGTTGGCTGCTGAAGAGCGACAGTGCGCATGTGAAGATCTTCTTCCAGCACAGCTCTGCACTGGTAGCCTTCTGGGATCGGCAGATTAACCAAAGGCTGGACAATGGTGGCTTGTATGCCAAGTTGCTGAACCAGTTCTGGACACGCATCTTCGAGCTGGTCACCCATGATCTGGCTGCTGAGGAGGTCAACGAGCAGCTGCTCTCACATGTCTTGCTTTTGGTTCAGGATCTGCACATGGCTAATCCTAGCTTGGAGTCTCCCAGTGTCAAGTTTGTGGAGGAGCAGGATGTTAAGGTGGAGAAGAGCGAACCCACGACGCCAGTTAAAAAGGCCCAAGAAGCTGCGGCTTTTATTCAAAAGGAACTGAAACAGTTAGTTGTGAAGCTGGTCAGGATCTGCCTGGAGAAGGCTAAAAGCAGTGGGACATGTAGTTCCTCTTCGCGTTACATTGAACAGATTCGCACCCTCACCAAAATGTTCTCCGATGCCGGCTTCTACAAGAGTTTAACCGATGTCGGAGATCTGGGAGCAGCGCTGGATAAATTTGTTTCACTGCTGGAACCACTGAATGACGACGCTAGCGAACCTGTGCTGGAGATTGTATTTGAGATTCTGCCACTGCTTGAGTCGGAGCCACGCTTTGGTTACATTGAAAACACCCTCATGAAGGTAAGTAGCAAATTTAAAAGCTGGAATGTATTATAACCTGATTAATTCGCCATAGCTCCCACAACATCGCGTGCAGAACCTACTTCTCCACCGATTGCTTTCGTATCCCCTGTGCACAGAGCCCGCCGTGAGGCAGATGCTCAGTGGTCCGGAAACTTGTGGCGTGATTGCGCGAATAGCGGAGGAGGTTGTGTTGGACAATGATCGGGAGAAGCTGAACCTGCTGCACAAGTGCTTCTTCCAAACGGACTCGGGAGACATACTCATCAATGCTGAAACTGTGGATAAAATACTGCTGGCCATGTGCGGACCCCTGGAGCAGCCTGTTGTCGACGACAGGGTGGAAGTGTGTGGCAGCTTTATTGCCCAGATAATGCCTGTGATTTGCAGCAACGACAATTCTTCGTTGCGCGTGCGCCAACATATCTTTCTCAAGCTGTTCCAATTCAGTTTGGAGCATCGGCCTGAGGATTATTTGTCGGAGGATACTCTGTGGGAAATCACCACCTGCTGGCAGGATGCGCTGTCTAGTAAGGACATCGAAATCGATAATGAAATGCTAAATAGCTGTGCGGAAATTGTGGAGGCTTTGGCGAACTCCGTCGAACTCAAAGCGGATAATCTGGATGGCATGGCGGAGGCAATGGCCAAGTTTGTCATTTGCTCGACGGAAAACATTGAGGAAGAGAGCAAGCGCTTGGAACGCATTGATGAAACCATAGCGTCTCTTTTGGATTCCCCCCTCAAGACACCAGAAAAGGTTCAGAAGTTCGAGAACCATTGTGTGCTCCTGGAAGCCTTGCAAGGATCTGTCAGTGCGGGAGTGCCCTTCGAAAGCGCTTCCCTGGCCAATGATGAAATCTTACCATTACTTCAACGTTCCACCCTTAACTTTTCCACCATCCACAAGCTTGTCTATCAATTCCCGCCACCGCAAAACCCAAATGATCCTGAAGATGAGTTGACCGAGGACTACTGTGATCCCAATGCCGATGTGCTCAAGAATTGGAACGAACCCTTGATTGCCGAACTGCTGCAGTGCATTCGAGTGGCAGGCACTGCAGAGTGCTGGCTGGAAGTGTCGGAGCTGCCATCATCGGTGGAGGAACTAGTGCTGATCCTGTCGGCGAAGGTTCAAAGCTTTATGGGCAACAGCAGCGATCTGGTTGGCATAGTCAAGGAGCGTCTTCAGCAGGCTGCAGTGCAGCAGTGCAGCGTAATAGGATCTCGCCTTCTGAGCTACTTCACTTCTTGTCCGCAGTATGCGGCTTTCGAAGAGAGTGCCTGCATTTTGCTGCACGAGGATCTCTCCGAATCTCTGGTGACGCAGGGAGCACTCAAGACCTATGTGATGGCACTTCAGGTGAGAGGTTTGAAATCATCCAAAGATCGCAAAGTAATTCCTCATTTATTTTGCAGTTTCTGCTGCCAAAGCTTTCGCAAAAGGCTATCAGTCTCAATTCGGCCATTATGAGAACGGAACCACCCGAGATTTGGGTTAAGGCAGCCGTCTTCCATTCCCTTCTCCTGAACAACTTCGAGGCCGAGGTCAATGAGCAAACAGATCGCAATATCATTGTATCAGCCGTTCAGTTTATGACGAGCATTGGGGAAAGGCAAGCCATCCAAAAGGATTTACTCCATTACAATGTGTAAGACCATACGGATTTCTTAGGTTCTTTGTTTTGGATTTAATTTAAATGCTTTTTAGGGAAATACACAAGCAACCCTACGAATCAGTTATCAATACAGTGGAGTTTATCAAATTGCTTACCGAAGTTCTGAAACGGTTTCCCTACGAACTGGGCATTAAGAACTGGGACGCCATTCGCATTGGTCTCAGTTCATGGGTGCTATCTGTTTCCAAATCCATTGCTCAGTTCAATGATCCAAAGGTAGGTTTTCTGGTAAAAACTAATTTTTTAAATGTACAAACCTCTGGTTTTCAATTGCAGACCTCTCTTTTTGTGGCGGCTGTTTATCAATTGTTTGCCGCCTTGATTGAATTCATTCACTCCGAGAAACAAAAGAGTTCAACGGAATTACTCAAAAACATGATCGATGAATGGGACTCTTTGTTTGCCAAGGAAGTCAATGTGGTGCTCTTCAAGTCGTTTTATCAACTAACTCACGAGGCTACTTTGGAGCCAGGATTTCAGGCCTGCTATGAGGCTCTACTGGAACGTCTAACACCAACTTTAGAGCTGCTGGATTATAGTTTTGTTTATGCGGTATTGTATAAAGATTTACTTTTGATTTGACTATTGATTGACTAATGCATTTACGTTTTCAGTTCTGCAAGTCAAACAGCAAAATCAGTTTGGACCACCTCTGCAATTTCCTGTTTAAGCAGCTCTACAACTCCCAGCACTCACTGCGCTTGAGTGCTGTTCACTCCCTTCGTCAGTTAACGCCACACTTTGTGGCCGATGACATTGAATTGAATGAGAAACAAAGCGAGAGTCTGGATACCACTACCTCGATCTCCAAGTGGCACTTTCTCAATCGTTTTGAGGATTACCTGACACGCTACGATAGCCTGATACGTAAATACCTGGACGAGTTCACTTTCAAGCTGACGGAGCTGGAGGATCTCGAGGCCATAGACAGACATGATGCACTAAGCTACCTTCTCCTATGGGACTGCATCATCAATGCCTGCGCCAAATCTCCGGTTGCATTGCGAGCTGTCTACACCAATTGGCTACACGACAACAAATACGAAGAGGTTGGAAAACAATACTTAAAATTTACTTTTGATTTGGGTCTTACACTACAAATTTGTTGCATACTTTACAGAATTTTCTACATTTCCTTTTCCGCGCAATGCCAGTGGACATACTTAAGAATCACGGGGCCAAGGTGCACAGCAATGGAGTCTACAAGGAGCTCACTTGGACACAGCTGAAGGGTAAGCTCTAACACAACTAAGCAAGCAATGTTTCCTCCGACATGTCGTCATTGTTAAGAACGTCGGTCAAGTAGCCCTCCCCATAACCATAATCGTCATATTCGGCGCCTCCTTGTTCCACATCCTCCATCATTTCATCTGCTCCCGGTTCATCGGATACAGAAATGAAATCTGACAGGGGCACAAACTGTTCGGGATCGTTCTCAGCCATCATCTGCCGTTTGACGGGCATCTGTTGTGGCGCCAAGTAAATGTTCAAGTTCGATATGAACTTGTTGATCCAAACGGTCAGGTTGTTGGCCAATATGCGCTGATACTCGCGTAAATTACTAGTCGTGTAGAACTCTTGATCTATTCGGGGATTTAATTTAGTTATTAGCACAAAGTTTTGTTTAAAGTACTAAGCTCACCCGTAAACTCGCGAAGTCTTTCGAGGATTACACTACAGAGCGGAGAGTTTTCGTCCACGATAAACTGATCGTTGAGTAGAAAGTCCTTCATTTCCTCGAAGAGGACGCAGATGATCTTCTGCATCTGTTTGCGTTGGCGCATCAGGATGCGCTTCTTAAGCCCCTTGCAGCGGCGTTTGTGGAGGCGCCTCGCCGCCCTGCGCTGACGCATCTCCTCCTCCATATACTCCAGTGCCTTCTCCATGCTCATTACCTCCACCGGCGGCTTGGGTTTCATGTGGTTCTCCAGAGCGGCTATGTGGCGGGGCGAGAGGTACTCCTTGAAGAAATTGAAGGTGTCACTCACTCGCATCGGATGCGGATCGGCCAGGCGCTCCACCCGCGCTGTACATTGGTTCACGAAGATCTTCTTGGTATAGTAGTGTGCCTGCTTGGCCAACTGGGGCGAGGAGAAGTCCTTCTTGGGCGTGGCCAGGAAGCATATGTGCTCCTCCCGGGACAACACGTCCCGGTCGATGATGATCTGGCCCGTATGCTGGCAGGGCACATAGCAAGGATGGTAGCGGGGACAGACGCAGATAAATCTGTGCGTTAATATGTGGATAATGGTTTAATTTTCAAACTATGAAAAATGACAAGCCATAGAAGCATTTAATTATTTTTAGCAGTCTATTAAAGTTAGGTTTTAGATAGGACAATCTATTGGTTCTTACTAAAATTTTGGAATTTAGTTTTGAGAATTAAGATAAAAGAACTCTTATTAAATAGGTCTGTGTTCACGAGTAAAAAGAAAATACGTTTACAGAAATAAATTTAAATATTTAGTTTGAATGTTTTTGGAATAAATTGTAATATCTAATGTAATTTAAGCTTTCGTTTTTACCTTTACCCATTAAATATTTAATTTGAATAATTTCTGAAGAGACTTCAATAAATAAAAATGTAGTTTAAATTAAAACCATGTTATGTTATGTTATATATTTAGTATAAATATAAAATATACAATTTTGGAAACAATAGTCAGGTATTTATGTAGACTATTCGATTTTGTTTGCACCAGTGTTATAAATACAACTTTTTTTTAAGTATATAGTAGAGGTCCTACCCAATGTTTTCAGTAAAAATTAAATTAAATAAACTTACTTACCTGTACAATCCCTGGATCTCGTTGGTGGGATACTTGACCAGGCGGCGGATGCGTTTGGCACGGGACTCCCGCACATGGACCATGGCCAGGCGGGCGTTGAGCTCGTCCGCCACGGTGGGCCCCTCCTGAAGGGGATCTTTCGGAACGTGCTCCTTGCGCGTTTCGCATTGCGTCTTCAGGAAGTTAATGGCCTCGGCCACCGTTGTCTTTTCGCCCTCAAGCTGAATGCGCTTGGGCTGCGGCATTTCGGAGGGCATTTCCTTGAAATTCACTGGCTTTGCCATACTTTCTAATTAGGAAAACCAAAAAAACTGAAGGAAAAACTATTTAATAAATTGAACGACAGCAGACGATCGAGCTAAGCGAACGCTTCACTATATAAACATTGATTGTCAAACCAAAATAAGTTACACAGCCTGGCTTGCCTTGATTGATCCATTCGTCTTACATTTTACAGATCGTCAGTTGACTCTGGAGCGTTATGTCTGCCATCTGTACACGGAGGTGCTGCGCAAGCTGCCGGCTGTGGTGCGCAGATGGTGGAACACCACCCAATCGAGACAGAAGAACTTCGTGGACAACCTCACCACCAACTATGTGAGTTCGCTGATTTGCAGCGAGGAGCTCAAGGCGATCGCCAATCGCAAGGAGAAGCACGAGAACATGCAGGTAAGTGGCTGAGAGTGGATCTTTGGAGTCCTTAAATCATTTCTGGGGAGGCTATGCGCAAGGAAAACACCACAGTGATGCTGATCAGCAGTATGGTGATGACAATGACGCGGAAGATTTCAAGGGTCACCATATCTCTGCTAGAAAGGATATATACTTTATTTTCTTGAAATTCTTTAGCCCTAAATTACTCTGGACTGACTTTACATCCTAAATACGCAAAGACTACTTAACTTACATATAATTTATATAATTTATAACTTTTCCTACTTTTAGGTCACTGTTCACTCCTCCACCCGCGAAGTGCTGGCAGTATATGCCATTGATGAGGCCCGCATGGAGCTGGTCATAACCTTGGCACCCAATTATCCATTAGGAGCTGTAAAAGTTGAGTGCGGCAAGCAGATCGGTGGACGAGCCTCCTCCCGAAATGTGGGAATGCAACTGACCATCTTCCTGACACATCAGGTATACATTTATATGGTTACCATAAATCAATATATATAAATCTATCTATAAATGTAATAATGTAATGTAATTTCCTTACAGAATGGCACCATTTACGATGGCCTGACCATGTGGAAAAACAATCTGGACAAGAAGTTCGAGGGCGTTGAGGAGTGCTATGTTTGCTATACCGTCATCCATCAGGACACTTGCCAGCTGCCCAAGCTCACGTGCAAAACCTGCAAGAAGAAATTCCACGGACCTTGTTTGGTAAGACTACTCCAATGTGTTTGCACTTTCTCAGGTCTAAAAGTATTTTTTCCTTTAGTACAAATGGTTCACCACCAGCAGCAAGTCCACTTGCCCCATTTGCCGCAATGTCTTCTAGATGGAGTATATATATATATAACATACATAGGAATGTGTATATATGTAACAGCTAAATCTTAGTTGACAACACGTATTATGCAAAAGGCACAACCAAACCATTCGATTTAGGCAATAGTTTCTGGTCTCTCAAATTGTAAATCAGCAATAATAATAAATTCGTACAATGTTTAAATGTTCTTCGTGAGTTGTTAAGTGCATGGATTGATTTTATTTGATTGTAAATAACTTTATTGCGCATTAAAGATTTTAGAAATATCAATAAACCAGGCAAAAAATTTGAATACGAAGTAAGCTTATGTAAAACAGTTCAGCAACCATTTCAATATAAGGCTACACAGTGTATATACAACTATTTTAATTTACAATATTTTGAAATGCTATAGGGGTTTTAAGAACTTTTCTAGAAGATTGTAATTCAATCATGGGAACAAGAGTAAAGGTTATCGGCACCTGTCCATACTGCAATCGTTATGTGTCCAGAGACTTGCGACCTATTAACACTCTGACACCACGGGATGCGAAGAGGATTTCTCAACTGATAAACGCGGAACCACCAGCTCCAATTCAGTTGGATTCTGAGGAGGAATCGGAGGTGCGAGTCTCAAGGAGGAAGGAAACCACTCAAGAGGAGTTACAGACGAATGCTGCAAGGGATGCTGAAGCTGATGAAAACTCTTTGGAAGAACTAACAGAAAACATTTTGAACTTGGTAGAGCAGGAGTTTGCCCGTAGTCCGGAATGCAGTGGAGCATCTAGGATTTCAGAGGAGAATGCCGGGCTCATCGTGGCCATGTTGACGGAGGAGCAGCGTATTATCGATAAGATTGAAAGGCGTGCACTTAAACGGGATGTTAAAGAGCCGCCTGCCAAAAGGCGAAGGTGTTAATTAATGGATACATCACATGCAGGCGGCAATAACTTACAAGCATTGTAAAATCAACCGCCGTATGGGAGGGCCGCCCACGTGCTGACCTTTCCACCCAGCTGGAAATAAACCTCCCTTTTTGCGCATGCGCCTTGGAGGGTTAACTTTCTTTCGGGGTGGGGCCCTCAGCACATGATGACTCGCCTTCGCGAGTCGGTTTTGCTCAGCAGTGCAGTTTTGCAAGCTGCTAACTGGGATTACACACGCCATCGCCTCATCCAAGTGGACTGCGTTGGGTCCACAGGATGACGTAAGCGCCGTGCTTGTACGATGAGCCCCCGGGAACTGAAACTTGGCCAGCGTGTTGAGGTGACGGGTAAAAATCTGCAGGGTAGGATTGCCTATGTGGGACGCACCACCTTCGCTGCGGGACTGTGGTACGGCGTGGTTCTGGACGAGCCGCTGGGCAAGAATAATGGCAGCATCCACGGCAGCATTTACTTCAAGTGTCCCCCAAACTGTGGCCTCTTCGTGCGCGCCCAGCAGCTGGTGAGGATTGCAGCCGAGTTGCCCCCCGGAGCGGACGACAATCGAAAAGCCGATGAAATGCAACGCGACGGGGCCAGAGCGAAACTATCGAGGCGGACTGGCGGCGGTGGAAGGTCCGTGGAGGAGCAGGTGAGTGGTGCAAGTGGAGAGTACATCAACTAGATATACATACTGCAACCATTTCCTGCAGGATAACCAGAGGGAGCAGGTGGCCAGCACTTCTGGCAAAGCGAAGGCGGTCACCCCATCCACCCCATCCACTTCATCCACTCCATCACCGCAGCACAGAAGCCGGAACGTTCAGTCCTCCAGGGAGCAGGCATTGGCCAAGACGTCGGGCAAGTTCTTGGCGGCTCAGCAGCAACCTTTGCAGCTTCCAAAGGTGAGTTGAGGGTTGAGAAAAAGGTGGTATCCGACTTCTAACCAAAATATAGGTCAAGCTAAAAATTAAAAAAAAAATTCTTTTTAATGTTAAGATTATTTGTGAGTACACCTTAATTGAGTTTATACAAAAAGAGTCTACCTTTTAATCTATATATAAAATTTTAGGTACAGCTGCGGTCAAAATAATAGTTTTTTAGCTCATTAAAATAGCAAGCCATAATAGTTTAAAAGCAACTTTTGAAAGACTGAAGCAAATATACAAATTTGGATTTTATCATTAACATAATTTTAAAATATTTGGTAACAGATTGAATAAAATAAACATTATTTTAAAATTAAAAAAAAAATATGTGATATTTTTTTATCTTAATAAAATTATAAAGATAAACGAGGATTTATTGTTATTTTCTAAAATTGTAAATGAAAAAGTGAATTTAGAGGAAACAATATCAGAGTTCTTTGTAGTCCAATTTTGTTTATTGGTAAGAAAGCCCGTGAGCATTCATAAAAGCTATTGTTATTATAAAACTAAATCAGTTTTTAAATTTCTTTAGAATCCAATGGTGTCAGAAGGCAATGCAAGACGTTCTCAGCTGGAGGAAGTTGACAAAGTAAACATGTCTCCCAAGAAGTCCTCAGCTACTGAGCAGGCCAAAGAGCTGCCTAAGCAGGAATCCAATGATGCACCACAGCTAGTAAGAAGGGGAGATGAGTCGGTTAAAAAGGAAGAGGAGCAGTCGAGCAGGGAGCAGTTGGCCAAGCCAAACCAGGAGACGAATGCCAATCCGCTGCAGACAAGCACAATTGGTGAGCTGCCGGCACAGAAGGCCGCTGGTCAACTGATACCGCCCATTATGACCTGCAACCAGAGGCGATCCACATCCTACACCCAGTTGCGACCGACGAGGATTAGCCAGCCGAAGCCAACCACGGCACAGGCGCAGAGTTCCACGGCCCAGCTCACTTTGGCCATGCCGGTGCCACTGGCTTTGGCACCCAAACGGAGCAAGACCAGCATGAGTCCCACTAGCTCGATTAAACGGGCTGCTCCAGCTGCCTTTGTGGAGCCACGCTTCCTGGAGATCCTGAGGCCTCAGTTCACGCCGGGGCCAGCTCTCCGGACGCCCAGCTCCGTGGCTCCACCTCCACCCGTGGATAATCCAGAACTGCGGCAACTGAGGGAGGAACTTCAACTGTTGAGGGGGCAGAAGAGCGAGGATAAACTCAAACTCCTGGAACTAGAGCGTATGCGGATACAGAACGAGCAACTGATGGAGTTCAAGTCGCAGATCATGACGCAGCAGGTACTGCTGCAGAGGGAACTCCAGAGATCGCGACACGAGCTGAGGGAAGCCCAGGATGTGTCCTCGAAATTCAAGAGGGAACTAGACGAAATAGCCGAGAGCATAGAACTCCTAACGCTGGACAAGGAGATGGCGGAGGAGCGCATGGAGACCCTGCAAATGGAACTGGAAATGGCTCAGGAACGCAATGATGAACTGAGTCTGGACGTCGAGATCCTCAAGGCGGAGCAGGAGGAGCAGCAGGGTCAACGCATCGAGAAGAGTGAGAAACAAAGCGGTGGCGGTGGAGTGATGACTACCACCCAATCCCCTGGCGAATTCCTACGCTTGGAGCAGTACAACCAACGACTGCGCGAGACAGTGGTCCGCTTGAGGGACACCCTTGCCCAGGAGAAGCAACTGGGCCAACGCACGCACAAGGAGCTGGAGACCAAGCACTCGGAGATCAACGAACTGAAGAGCATCAAGGAGTTGCTCAGTCGCAGGGTGGACAACATGGAGGTGCAGCTGATGGACCTGAAGGAGCAGGTCGATGCCTCCCTGGGGGCCGAATCGATGGTCACCCAACTGGCCATGCTGAAGCTAGAGCTCGAGGATCGCGTGAAGCTGCTGGAGGATGAGGTCAACGAACTGGAGGCCCTGGAGCAAATCCAGGAGCAGCTCATCGAGAGCAACCAGGAGCTGGAGACCGATCTGCGCGACGAGATCGACAAGCTAAGTGGTCAGGTGAAGATCCTGGAGCAGCAGAAGAACGCCGCCATGGAGAGTCTCTACGACCGCGATGTGACCATCATGAAGTTCCGCGATCTGGTCAGGCATCTGCAGGAGCAGCTCCAGCTGCGGGCCGACGGCACCCTGTCCATCGAGGACTTCAGCAGCGCCAACGAGTCGCAGCAGGAGGAGGGCTCCAACCAGAGCCAGACGGACTACCAGCACATCTTCAGTGTGAGCAAGGCCTATGGCCGCGCCCTGGAGCAGCAGATCAAGACCGTGGAGCTGCGGCTGCAGCGCCAGCACTTGGAGCACGTCCTGGCCTTCGTCCCCGAACAGTTCCTCCTGCGCGGCGGCGAGCACGATGTCGTCCTGGTCATGCTCCTCCTGGAGCGCATGAACGAGAAGCTCACCATCGTCTGCCAGGCCATCAACGAGAAGTTTCCCACGGCCTGTGAGTTTGGTGAGTGTTGTTTAGTCAATCTGTTGGATTAAGGAACTGCTTTAAAATCTTCCCTATAATTTTGCATTTATATTGTTTTGGATAAAATAATATTAAAATGCTTATACAAATTTTGGCAGTCAAAAATAAGTTATGCTTCTAATCTCAAAGACTTCTAAAAATAATATTTATAAATTCTTTAATAACTGATAAAAGCAAAACATTATTTTTGTTTTTCTAATTATTAGTTTATTTATATATTTACTATCCTAGTGCGACAAGGTTAAGCTTATATATATTGCACTAGTCAAAATGAGCTGATGAAATGTGTTGTTTATAATATTTTTAAAAAATGTAAGGGGGCAAGCAATATATTTTATTTTTTAATCTTAAAAAATTATTGACGTTGAAAATGTTTTGGGAATAAATTAGACATGAAGACCGCTATAACTAGAGATATACAGTGGATATTTTATGACATTTGTCGATTTGTTTTCAAAACTTAGCAATATGCTAACTATTACTAGAGTACCTGTAAAAAAAAGGTCATGGAAATTAAAAATAAGATTTGTTTATATAACTTCGACCATATACATATTGATAATCATTATCAACTATTCGATTCTTTGCGGATAGAATGTCAGGGTCTGTAAAATCCAAAGGCTAAGAACCCACGCAGATCATTTTTTGCTATGTCGTCCACTTTTTGGCTTACAAACACATACAAATTTGAAAGATAAAGTTTTTATAAAATTATTTTGATATACAGATAAAAGACTATTATTACTATGTTGCAATAGTTTAGAAAGAGTAAGGAAATATTATAAAATGTATAGATGAGGCATCTTTATATGGTTTGGTATTAAATAACTAATATTTGTAATTTACAGGTCGCGATGCCATCTTCGAGGGCTACTCGGTGCAGCGGTACATATTCCGGTCGCAGTGCCTCTATCTGCTGAAGAGTCTGCAACTGGTGCTGCAGCAGTTCCGCCACGGACTCACCCACTGCGACTACGAGCTGTGCACCCATGCGGCCATCTACCGGAGCGACCTGGAGGCCCAGGAGCAGCAGCTGGACGAGTTTGTGCGGCTGCTGAAGACGGGCCAACTGGATGAGCACACGAACTGCGAGCCCATTCAGCGGGTTCTCCACTATGTGAGTGGATTGCATCAGAATCTGATGCCACCGCAAACGCTTGTGGAACTCCTAGATGAACAGCAGCTGTATGAGGCTCTGATTGAGGTGTACGAGGCGGGATTGGATGCAGTGAATGCGAATGCTGGACTGATGCATACCATCATACAACTGGGCCACGAGCAGACGGCCTCCTTCAGTTGCATGCAGCTGCTGATGGAGCAGAGCTGTGCCCACAAGCAGAAGCTCAAGAAGCTGCAGCGGAAATTGGGTGGCAGCAAGACGGCTGCCTGGACGGGAATGCAGTGTGCCCGGTATCAGAGGATCCTGGAGGCCAACGAGGCATTGGGAGCCCTAATACGGCTGCTGGGCTCGACCGCTCGAGAGGCCAGCAGGGATTCCAATGGGGGAATAGCCCATGAGAAGCTTTGGCGGATGCTGGTGCTCAACTACAATAAATTCGCACCAAGTCAGGAGAGCCAGGAACCCAGGGAAGTGGATGCCTACAGTCAGTGGTGCATGCAACTCCTGGAGGAGCAGCTAGACGAGCTCTTCACGCTGCTAGAATCCACAGATGTGAATACGGAGTATGTGCGTCATCCCACTAGCAATACACTGCAGGAAAGGGCTGCCCAGGTCAAAAGACACTACGAGGATGTGAAGAAGCTCGAGCTGACTGTTAACGAACGGGACAAGGAAGTGAAAAGCCTCAAGTACATGGCCAAGATGCGGCAGCAGGACTTCTCGGAGCTGCAGGTTCGCAAGGAGATGGCCGAGAAGCAGCTGAGCAAGCAATGCCATGTACTGGCCGGCTTCGCAGATGCAGTGGAGCAACTGGAGCAGTCCATTCTGGCCAAGGAGGCAGCCCTGGGACAGGCCTTGAACATACTGGCGGATAAGATATCCATCCTAGAGCAGTCGCAGCAGCATTGGCAGGAGCAGCAGATGGTGGACAATGCGTGTGTGACCAGCACCACTAAGAGTTCCAACCGAGAGATGAACATGCTCCATCAGGCCCTGCGCCAGGAGCGATCGCTGCGAGTTCAGCTGCAGGGCACTGAGATGAGGAAGACCTTTGCCTCCCTGGAGCCACTGCATGTGCCCCGCTCTGGGTGCCAGGAGTTGAGCAACTTGGACAGGGAACTCCGCTCGCTGAAGAACCAGTGGCTACTGGCCCACCTGGAAATGGGTTCCACTGGCGCACAGCGACGCACGGAGATCGAGCTGCAGGGCAGCCGCATCCTGCGACATATCTTCCAGACATATTGCACCCATCATCCGCATCGGGCCAAAAACACCGACTTTGGACTCTTCATTAGCGAGGATCTGCGCAGAGCATTCGAACAAAATTTCTAGCTATACGAACATTAGTATTCGAAATGTATCTCGGTGGTCATAGCAAAGGTATATATGTGATTCGCGGCTTATATAACAAATTAATATACTAATAGTTATTTGTACGAAACTAGATATTATATAAAACTGTACAAATATATAGTTCATTTCGTGTTTATCGGGCAATAAACAAATTTACATTACGTAGATCAATTAGAAATGACAGTTTTGATTTTTAATTATCTAAAAAGAAAACGAATTTGGGGGTTTATTGATTTTTTTATAAAATAAACTAATAAACTATCCAAATATGGCCCCACAACAATATATTACCAAATATTCAAATATTACGTTATTGCATAATATTATATGCATATATATGTATTTCTGATCTGGGGTATCTGGGCAAATTTTAATTTGAAATTAATGTTTACTTAATAATTTTAAATAAGAGCTTCTCCACAATCAGGAAACAAAACTATACAAAATATTCCCATTACATTGTTTTGCCAAATATATAAGTATTTAATTATTTCAAAAATAATATATTCGTATTATTGGTTTCAGCGAATATATTCTTTTGGTTTGGATTTATACCAAATATTTTAAGTAAGTGACTAAGGTCTTAAAAGCAATCGAGGTTCTAATATTGATGCCAATCAATAACACATTGAGCCAATCTCATTGTCGAGCACCCCCGACTGTGGCGTTCTTAAATGTCGTTTATTTGAAATTAACATTTTACAAAATATCAATATACAATCCGTTTATGTACAAATACAAATAGTTGGGCCTAATAAGAGGCGCGCAGTTTGAGATGAGAGCGGCGCAAGCAGTTCAATTAAACGAAACGCTTATCACATGAGCACAGTATCGGGGGATCCAGAGTGGGCGTTGTGGGCGGTGTGGACGGTGTGGGCGTGGTTGGCGGATATATAGTCGGATATTGGATATATCATGGCAAGATGGCGGCCGTTGTGGGGTTTACATAAATACGTTTAATGTATAATGAGAAGAAGATTGGATTTGAGGCTATTTACAGTTGCTGAACGAACAAAACAATTTGCGACCTGTGAAGAACTGTTAAACAAAAATGTATTTGATCAAAAAACAACATTAAATAATAAATTAATATTACAAAAAAAAGGGGTAGAACAAACTATTGCTTTTCTGGATTTAATAAACTTAGATTATCAATTAGATTATAATTGTAATCCAAGTTAATAATTATAAGATTAATATTTATAACTTGTCAATAATTAGATAGTTAAAAGATATTTATCTAAGCTGATAACAATTAAACTAATAATAATATTTTGATAATTTCAAGAAAAGTAAATTTGTTTATTTTTTAAATCGATAAGCATTGTCCTAAAAATATACAGTCTCAACTAAAATATTTGGTTAAAATCCACTTTAGGGTTTTTATTTTTGATTTTTAATTGACATCGTTTTTATTTATAAATATTAGTGATTAATAAATGTTTTTAAAGAAATATAAGCAATTTTAGAATAACGAATAGTTTTTTAAATCCTTATTAATGCATAGAATAATATCATAAAATGAATTTTTGATGTACCAGTTTAATGTTTTAATAGCTTACATTTTTATTTTAGTACAACTTTTCCAAATTATTTTTTAATTTGTATAGTTATTCTTCTGGTTACTCACCTCACGACTTGGCTTCCGTCTGGCGCTTGGCCACAATTTTGCCCTGATCGCGACTGTTGATGACCTCGGCATGGAAGCCCGTCTCCCAGTCGGCGTAGTACTTCACGGTGCGCACATTGCCGTCGGGCTCCACCAGGGAGTACTCGCCCTTGACCACGTCCCCGTCGCGCTCCTCCTTTTGGTGCTTGTTGTCGCCCGTATGAGGATCGTTTACGGCGTATTCGAAAGCATAGCGTGGATGGGCATCCTACAAGAAAATAAAATCAATTTTAAATTAATAAATGCATATATTCATCGTGGAATCATGGCAAACTTACAAAGTGCTCCAGATGCTTCTCGGGCACTACCTTCAGCACGGCATGCTGAGCCACCGGCGCCGACTTAAGGTAGGCGGTGGCTGCCACGGGGGCGTGGCTGCTCAGCGCTGGCACACTGGGAGCATAGCGATAGAAACCGGCTCCCAGCGGTCCGATTCCACCCACTCCGTGCGAGTATCCACTCAGGGAGGAGTCCAGGTGGGCCAGCGAGGAGGTGGCCGGATGCGACAGACCAGATCCGTGGGACAGCAGACCGTGGTAGCTGAGGGCCGGGGACACCGCACCATGACCCAGCGAGATGGCTCCGTAATAGCCACCACTGTGATCCGCTCCATGGCCTAAGTTACCTGAAAGGAGGAGTGTTGTCAATGGTAAGTGATTTCAAATTTAAATCTTAACAAATAACTTGAACTAATATGCTATATATATACATATATAATATGAAATATTTGACTTTAAGGAGATACTTAAGGTTAAAAAACAAAATTCGTATTTTCCAATTAATCTATTGTCCTTATTATTTTATTTTTAATGAATCTAAGGTATTTTTCGCTTTAAAAAACATTTACAATTTAAAGTTTTTTATGATTAATTATCTCATTTTGGTTAACTATATAATTATTTCTTAGTTAAATTGATAAACCACTTTTTTTTAAGAAGAAAATCCCTAAAACTCACCCGCATGAATTCCGTAGCCGGTGCTGGTGGCCAGTTTACCTCCCAAGGAGTAAGCTGGAGCCGAAGTCAACTTGGTGAGAGGAGCGCCCAGAAGAGCTGCTCCGTGTCCATGTCCATTGCCCCCGTAACCAAGTCCCAATCCCAGTCCCAGTCCAACTGGCGAAGCCACCTTGGCGATGGCATGACCTGAAGCAATGGCCACAGCTGGCTTGGACACATACTGATGGGAGACTGCTCCCGAGCTGTAACCCGCTGCACTTCCTCCATACCCAGTGGCCACTTTGGTGGTCAAATGGGGAACGGAGGCGACGGCATGTCCCGTGGACAGGTGGCTCACTGCAGGAGCTGCGTATGTGGCCACCTTGGCAATTGCAGGAGCAGCTGCGATGGCCAGCGCTGGCTTGGACACATACTGGTGGGAGACGGCTCCGGCACTGTATCCCGAGCCACTGCTTCCGTATCCATGGCCACTGGACAGCAATGGACCCGCTGAGTAGGTGGAAACGGCAGGAGCGGCATACGAGGCCACCTTGGCAATGGCAGGAGCAGCTGCGATGGCCACCGCTGGCTTGGACACATACTGATGGGAGACGGCTCCTCCGTGCCCGGATGCTCCATAACCAGTGGCCACCTTGGCGGGCAGGGCGATGGCCGGAGCAGCAGGCAAGTAGGTCTTGGACAGAACGGGAGCCACTGGTTTCGAAACATACTGATGGGCGAGCAGGGCTCCGCCATGTCCCGATCCGCCATAGCCTGATCCGCCATAGCTAGTGGCAATCTTGGCGAGACTGGGTGCCGAAGAATAAGTGGCGATGGCAGGAGCAGCATAGGTGGCCACCTTGGCAATGGCAGGAGCGGCTGAAATAGCCACCGCTGGCTTGGACACATACTGATGGGAAACAGCTCCTCCGTGTCCGGATGCACCATAACCAGTGGCCACTTTGGTCACCACAGGAGCAGTGGCATATGTGGCGATGGCAGGAGCTGCATAGGTGGCCACTTTGGCTCCCGATCCCGAGACTCCATAGCTGGATGACAGCTTGGTGATGGCCGGGGCGGATGTGTAGGTGGCCACCGCCGGAGCAGCGGCCACAATGGGCTTGGAGATGTACTGGTGGGACACATCGGCCGCCTGACTGTAGGAAACCTTACTGAGAGCAGGTGCCGCCGAATAGGTGGCTATGGCTGGAGCGGCATAGGTGGCCACTTTCGAGATGGCCGGAGCAGCATAGGTGGCTACCTTGGCGTTGGCAGGAGCTGGCTGGGAGACATACTGATGGGAGACGGCACCTCCATGGCCGGATGCTCCATATCCAGTGGCCACTTTGGTCACCACCGGAGCTGAGGAATATGTGGAAATGGCTGGGGCAGCATAGGTTGCTATCTTGGCAGGAGCAGTGGCAATGGCCACCGCTGGCTTAGACACATACTGATGGGAGACAGCTCCTCCATGGCCGGATGCTGCGTAGCCAGTGGCCACTTTCGCGGCGGAGTAAGTGGATATGGCTGGAGCGGCATAGGTGGCCACCTTGGCGATGGCCGGCTTGGACACATACTGGTGGGAGGGGGCACCCGAGGCACTTACTCCGTAGCCAGGAGCCGAGGAGTAGGTGGACACAGAGGGAGCAGCATAGGTGGCCACTTTGGCAATGGCAGGTCCAGTGGAGTAGCTGGCAATGGCAGGAGCAGCATAGCTGGCCACTTTGGCAATGGCCGGGGCTGGCTTGGACACGTACTGATGGGAGACAGCTCCCGATCCCGAGGCTCCGTAGCTGGTGGATAGCTTTGTGATGGCCGGAGCGGACGAGTAGGTGGCCACCGCTGGGGCAGCATAGCTGGCCACCTTGGCAATGGCGGGCTGAGCCACATACTGGTGCGAAAGAGCTCCCGATGCAGTGCCTCCGTAGCTGGCGGCCACCTTGGTAACCGCCGGAGCCACAGCTGGATAGGCGGCCACTATGGGCTTGGAGAAGTACTGGTGGGACACATCCGCCGCCTGGCTGTACTTGGTTATGGATGGCGCATAGCTGGCCGAGTAACCGGTTCCATGGGACGACAACAGTGACGAGGTGGTGGCCAGCTTAACAGCCGGCGCGGAGTAGGTGGCCACCTTGGCAATTGCTGGCGCCGAATACGAAACCGATGGCGAGTAGGTGGCAATCTTGGAGATTGCCGGCGAGACCTGGCCATAGCTGTAGGCCGGAGAGCTGTAGGTCTCCACCTTGGAGTAGCCAGGAGTGGCCTTGGAGTAGGTGTACCCAGGTGAGCTGTAGGTCTCCACCTTGGAGGTCACCGGTGGCGCATAGTAGGGAATGCTCGAAAGCGCTGGCGAAGAGTAGGTGGCCACCTTGGATACAGCCGGCGTGGCCGAACTGTAAGTGTATCCCGGCGAAGTGTACGTGGCCACTTTGGTGAGTCCCGCCGATGGTGGCAAATAGGCGTTGTCCAGCTTGGTAATGGCTGGCGAAACCAAGTTCTTGATCTCGATTCCAGATGGCACCACGGTGGCGTACTTGGCGGCTGGCGACTTGTCCGCATAGGTGATGCCACCTCCGTACTCCGCCGATGGAGTGAACAGGGTCTTCTGCACCGGAGCAATGTACTTGTCGATCTGGGCAATGCCCCCGTGGGACACGCCCTCGATTCCGGCCGTCGACTGGTAGGAGGCGCCTCCACTTCCCACCGAGGTGTGCAGCAGGTGGCCGTTCTCCGCGTACGTGGAGATCGCCGGGCTCTGGCTGTACTTGGTCACTCCCGGCGAGATGGAGAACTTCACCTCCGCCGGCGGCGGATACGCGTAGCCAGCGGTGGCCGCGTGCACGCAGGGCAGGATCGGGGGGCCAGAGTGGGCGAGGGATCCGCCAGAGCCACGCTGAGCAGGCCCAGAAGGGCTACCAAATGGAACTGAAATCGGAAGGGTAAACATTAAGTCAAACAAAGTGAGTACCATATTTAAATATAATATAATCATAGGGTTATAAAAAAAATTCATTCTAATTTATTTTACTATCTAAAGAATATAAAACCAAGTTGGATAAAATGTATTAATTGTGTTTATATATGTAAGCCTATATATTAAAATATATATAAATGGATTTTTCAGGATTAATATACATTATTTATTTTTAATAAAAACAGAGACTTATAAATATTTAAAAAATTATGTTTCTTGTATTACTCGACATAAATTAAAGAACCAAATTAATTATTCACAAAACCTAAAACACTCCTAAATATATTTTTGGTACCCACTGCGCCGTACTAAATTTAGCCCAAATAATGAAATATGTATAAGTGCATATATTTCAGGATTAACCTTTAATATTCAAAACGTACCTAAATTTCAAAATTTATTAACACTTCAATAATATCATACGTAAAAAGGATATTAAATAAGATAATTAATTAAGCAATGTAAAGAAATTTTTAAAGATATTTGAAATTTAATTGATGTAATCCACTTTTTACTATATTTATTGTGTTATTAAACATTAAACTTAAAATGTTGAACCACTTCAAAAACACAAGAAAGCTCAAAATTAATAATAATACGTTTTGATACAGTATATCCTTTAAGTTCAGTTATTTGGCAAATATAAATTTACAATCAAACATTTTAAAGGTGCATTTCTTTATATATATTTATGCATTGGACATAATTTTAATAACTTTATTGTTTTGTTTTAATAAACTTTAGGAACTTCACCCTGCACAAAATGTCAAATTTGTAATTCGCCATTGTCCTTTTTTTATATTTGTAATTTTTATTATTTATTATCAAAGGACCCACCTTCATAATTTCACTATTCGAACTTAACACAGGCGACAGCTGCTATTCGTTTGCAAGGACTCACGAACTAAATAAAATCTTTGTTCAGTAACACAGCATTTGCACACTTTTTCTCAAAAAAGAATTCACAAGCTTTGCGATCCTTGATGGTTCGATTATATTTGCTATGGGTTTTATCCTTGGGCGGCTCTGAAAATAATTCGCATCGAGCAAAATACGCACAGGTCACAATATATATATATATATTTTTCGTTTTCCGATTTGCTTAAATTCTAACAAGTACGGCTCGAAATGAAGTCGATTCGAATCGAATCGAATCGAAACGGAACGGATCGGAACGATTCGGGATGTAGAGCAGAGCCACGCGGCCGACTGGACTGGACTGTTGGCCAGCCCGGCCCTATAATCGCTTATATACGTTCGGTCAGTTGGCCAACAGTCGCGAAAAAAGCTCGCACGCATGCGCAGCAGCCACGCACCAGTTTGGCGACAAAGCGACAAAAAAAAAACAACCAACTATGTTACTATATGTGTAGCAAAAGAAAATGCAACCAAAAAGATCAAAGATCTAGTTGCAAGGAAAGAGGCACGAACGAAGTAAAGCTGCGACTTTGGCGCGTGCAGATGAAGAATTGATGACTGCTGCTCGACTCCAGATCTCTCGTTTGCTTTGCCAGCTTTGTTCTCTCCCCGTTGAAAATTGAAAACTGCCAGCCGAAAGCTGAAAACTGAACTGAAAACTGAACTGAAAATTGGCGAACTGCAACCTGCGCCTGCCTGGCCAATTGTCTGGGCCCCACCTTCGCTGAGAGCCTCAGTTGGTAACGTTTTATTAGATCATAGTGGCGAACGCCTCGGCTCAAAACGTATAAGCCGATCACAAAATGCGCGTGGTGCATTGTTGGCCAAGTCAGCGGTTTATTTTTTTCTCTGCTTGCTTTCGGCCACAATTTTATTTCGACTTTTTTAAAGATTTATTTTTTTTTTTTTTTGCATACCCGTATGCTTTTAAAGCGACTTAATTTGATTTAGATTTTAATCGCGGCCATTGCGTGTAGCTCTGGAAAAAAATAAATGCATACGCAATTTGCTAGAGGCCCCCGAACCGAAATAAAAAAAAAAAATCAAGAAAAAAAAAGAGAGCAATGTATGTGTAGAAAATAAAACAAGAATTGTGGTATTAATGTCGCTATCAATAAATTTTGTCTGCCCGTATGTGTGCGCAATCATGCGTGTTGTGCGCCTTGGGCCTTGATTGTGCATTAGTTGGCTAAAAGGCATTGCATTGCCACATCATAATGCGATACAATGTGTAACTAATAGAATAGCCGGGAGATATGGCCAAAGTGTTGACTTGTCGGCAATTAAGGTCACCATGCATCGAGTGTCACCCTCTGTGCGAGGGTGGGTATACACCAACTCCAACGCCACACTTATAGTGGTATAGTGGTAATATGTCGAAAGAATGGCCAACCCAATGCGTTAACATGTCTGATAAATCGGCTGGCTGACAAGCGATTTGAAGAAACATGGCCAAGAATTTGGGGTTAGGCTGGCATCGTTTTTTTGTGTTATTTATGGTGTTGAATTTGAAGATAATTTTAAGTCATTACATTGGAAAGGATGCTTGTTTATAATTGACAATTTAAAACTTAAATTTAATTTCATAAATTATAACTAAATATTTTTTAGATTTGACAGAGAAGTGGGTCTTATAATTCTATGTCATTTTTATTCTTATTGCAATGATTAATAAATTTAAGTATTTTTTTTGAAATTAAAAAACAATACAAATTCAAAGAGTGTTGTAGCTTTTTTAAAACTAAAAAAGATAAGGCGTTTAAAAATGTAAGTAAACTTATGACTCTTATTAATCTAAGGCCACTGAAGATATTATAGAAAATGCGCGTTTTATCCGTTTTTTCACTACCTTATATAATAAAAGCAACCATAACTGTGCCATTTAATGCGGTGATTACTAAACCGTTTTTGGCCAAGTCCAGACATCGCCCACGAGTTTTGTGGACAACAGCTTGGCAGCCATTTCACACAAGGTGCGGAAAATGCATTTCCACTCATAAACACCGACCATTGGGCTACCTAAAGTCATAATTTTGCCGCTTTTGCGACTGCCCCGCTGGCATCACGCATACGCCATGTTGTGCGCTCACACAGAGCTAAAAATGCCAAGCCCGTCGGCCTTTCTCAAAAAAACACACGCAATACTTGCACTCTAGCACTAACTTAACTGGTTCACGATACACAAAAATATTCATATTCACTGAGGCTTGTAGAACTCTTGGGGCGAGAGATTGGCCGCTCGATTATGCACAAAACATAAAATCGACGATTTTATAAATATGTTTGGCAAATTTTGAAATGTTTACGCAGCGACCCGGTCAACATGATCGCAGTATTGAATGAACGACAAACCATCTAGATATAGGATTCGCCGCCCGTTACAATATTGAATGTAAATGATCCGGCTGGGGCGAAAATCAAGATTTTTCAATTAAAAAGGTGAGGGGTGAAGGAGGTGAGGGGTTTTACTTGCGATTTGATTTCGTCATGATGTTAAGTAGGCATGGTCGTGAGGCAGCAGCCATGGCCAGCTGAAGCTGAGGCTGAATCTATATAGTTACAGCTCTACAAAGTCCGCAGATCGTTTCACCAAACTTACGCAACCCGAGAGATCTGTGCGTGTGTGTGACAAATGCGTGGCGAGGCGAACTAAACTCGTCCAGCGATCAGCCTGAAGTAGGTTAAAATTCGCGCAGCTGACTTTTCTGCTTGCGTTTGCAAATGTTGAAAAATTAAAATTCAATCAAATTGCGAAAACCGTTCGCGTAAAGCCCAAAATAAAAATAAAAAAATATAAAAAACAAGGTAAAGCTGGACCAACAGCCCGAAACATGTTTCATGTTCAATTAACAGCAGCACCAGCAGCAGTCCTAGTTGGAAAAAAAATGGCAGGAAAAGTCGGGAACATTTGCGGACTTAACTCTTCTCCCTGGATTCGATTTTCCGATAAAAATCGCATCATGCAACACCCAATCGTTGAAGCTTAATTGGTCCACAAGGTTTATCTACTGGCACCGGCACTCGATCTGGATCGGCATTCTTTTCCAACTGCCGATTGCGTGTCTTGGTTTTCCCCACCTACCTACCTTTTTTTTTCGCTTTTTTCCATCGATTTTTCTTTCGGTCCGGTCTGGGCTTCTAATTGAAATGTCAACGCGTGTGCTGCTCAATCAATTTTCCAGCCAGCCATTTATGGTTGGTTAGTTTTATTTCGGCAAAACTTCGCCTAGATTTCACATCGCTGGTAATCGTCTGGCCAGGAGTTTGTCTTGCCTCTAGTTTTTTGGTTTCTTTTTTTTCCATCTGGGTGTTTTTAATTGATTTGGCCGGCATGCGGTGTCATTTGCGAGTCAGGGACAATGTGGCTGCGATGGCAGCTTGATGGCTGCCAGTGCCACCAAATGGCAGACTTCAGAGTTCAGACGCGGCGGACAGCTAATTAAATGCGCTCATAAAATATCAGGAGACATGGCCATTAATAAGGTCCATTGGGACTGGATCCTGATTCAAGTTTCTACTTATCAATATTTTCATACATGCTTATTATAAATAAAATATTAATTGATTACCACAATTTGAATTTTTGTCTTGACTTTTTAAATTAGATACAAAAATTGTAGATTCGTGAGAAATCATTTTTTTATTAAACAAACATTTCTTTAAAATTATTGTATTTATTGCATTGCAAAAAAATAAAATATGATGATGTAACATTAAGGTTCGACTTAAATATATAATATAATAATAAATAATATTTAGCCCTTAAGATAAAGTATTACCTTTCGACTACAAATTATTTAGTTGAAAATTTAAAGCAATACATTTTAGCCTTTAATATTCAAATTGATTTTCCAGGTTTTAAGAAAAAATAAAAAAGATTGAAACATTCAACCCACTTTATTTTATATTGCAAGCTAGCGAGGATTTCAATAAATATTTAGTGCAATTATTTTTGTATAAAATCCAAGGTAAAAAGCCGGATGTTATTGTGAACAACTAAAGTTGTAAACAATTTAATTTATGAAGCATACCGTCAGGGGCAATTTGATTTAAAAGTAGTTTGCTTATAGAAGGTTAAATAACAATATTTTATTAAATATTTAATAGGTTGATGCTTCGGTTGAACAACTCCTGAAGCAACCTCCTTTGAAGCAAAATATGCACCTCTGGTCGACTCGAGTGTCATAAACATTTGTCATAATTAACACAGATTAGGCATTCGGCATTCTTAATGTTCGATCTGCTGTACTGACTCTCCCACCAGCTAATCCAATTTAGCTAATCTCATGCATAACTAGTTCGACCACAGATCGAGTATTCTAATTACGGGTGCGATTTTGATTTTGATTTCGATTTCGATTTCAAATTCGATTGCCAAATGCCAGTTTGAGCACTCGCACTTTTTGTCAACGCAAAAACTGTTGCGTATGGCATTGACTTGGATTTTCTTGCGATTTCGATGCATAAATTGACGTATCGACCTGCGATCAGGGACCAAAGTGTCAACTGGCAGATCGAAGTGAAGAGGGCGAACTGAATAAATAACTGATTGCTTATATGCAAATTGCTCCCACATTGCGATTCTAGGCGAACCAGTTTCCCAGGCATCGGCTCCAAAGTGATGCCAATAAAAACCGCGATGCTCATAAACGGCGATCGCTGCAGAATCACTTAGCGCGTTTTCCACTCGCGTGAGAATGCCCGATAGATTCTCAGATTTCGGCTTACGTAGTAGAGTAGTGTGTTCAGTGCAGAGGCGTTTGTCAGCGCTCCCAATTAAATAATTTACAATTTTCTAGATTAGGCGCCGCCTCCGACCAACGACATTGAACGTAGTCAGGGGCTATGAGTCATGACTCCGATCTGCGATCAGCGATCTGCGTTCAATATATCTCAAGAGACTTAGATCCGGTTTGGGGCTCGCCGGACTTGCCGGTGGAAAAGCTGCCCCGCTGACACGCACACCTTTTAAGGAAAGGATCCCGATCCCGGCCCCACACCACCCCTCGCCCCAGAGTGATGGCCAAAAGCAATTAGCGGCCCAAACAAATGTGAGAGACAATTCTCAGAAGTGCCTGCATCATGGCCCATGCATTGCAATCGCATAATTTGCTGTCAAATCGCACGCGTTTTTAGGCATACTCTAGCGAGGGGTGGCTCCACTTTGTTGGAAGAAAAACAACTTAAATTAAAGATATGAATATTACGACTTTTAATGATAAGTAATTTAAACTTAAGAAATAAATATTATTAATTTTAAAAATGCAATAGATTTAATAAAATACAATAACTCAAGGTTTTTTTATATTGTTACGATTTAATTAAACCTTATTATAATAACTTAGATTCTAGTGATATTATAATTATTATTACTCGTGTTACGTTAGAATAGTGTTTCTAACAATAATTGTATAAACAGTATTAACAATTTCTTACCACACCTCACTTAGGAAATCGTTAAACATTTACTAGCTTCAACTCTAAAAGAGTATTTATATCTTTTACCTCAGTTATGGAAATTTTTGGGGCGTTTTCAGTGCTGCGTTGTCGGCTTGAAATAATTAATGCGAACTGGTGTTAATTTATGGTTGTCGCTTTCGTTGTTGGATGGCGTTGCCGCTGCTTTGGCCATTGCATGGCATAATCACAAAACTCAATTGGAGGTTTGGCACTGCGAGAGGGATCAGAAGTCGGCGATCTTTGGCTGCTTGTTAGCAATTTCCTGTCAACCCACGAATTTTGTGGCTCATTGTTTGTCTCGACTCGAGTTCTATGATTTATGATGGAAAATCGGCGGCAAGTGCAGCTGAAAATTTAATTCCGCAAGATCATTACTTACCATGTCAGGGAGTGGTGCATTAATTCCCTCTTCTGTAAACAAATCGCACAAAGTTAATTAATCCCACACTAATGGGAAGAAAATTGTTGAAGGTAAATGCGTTTATAATATGTCAACCATTTTTATAATATTTTAACTACACAATTAACAACTTAACACCGAAATGTGTGAATAAATGTTGAAAACCAATAAACGAAGTGCATAAAAGGACAACTTTTTGCTGATGCAAACTTCAAAAACTTTTATTTTTTATTGTCGAAAGTGTTTTAAGAATATTATATGATGTTTATAGTTATAAAAGCACTTTACCTTATGTGTGAAAGGCAATTTGTTTCTCCCAATAGTAAAATCGCATTTAACAACAAATTTTTGTTGTATCAAAATTTAAAACTATATCCAATATCAATTTAATGATTTAATATAGCGAAATTTAATTTATTTGACAAACAATAACTAAGATTTACATAGCTAAACAAATAAATTACTCATAAAACGAAACAAATAAATAAAGAAAGGAAACACTTTACAGAGAAAATAAATTCAACGTCTTAGGTTCCAAAAAAAGGGTAAAAACATTTTAAAAAGTAAACCAAAATATTAAAAAAAACACTAAATAAAAATAAATAAATATTACTTTTTAAAATGTTTCTACACCGTTTTTGAACTCGAAACTTTTGCTAGTTTTCTCTGTATACTAAACTTATATTTAGACACCCTCCAAGCTGCGATAGCTGCCGGAATCGAAGCTGTGTGCACCGGCGTACATGGGAACCATGTGCTTCTTGTCCTTGCGCACCATATTCTGGACCAGAGTGGCCGACGCCGCGCCCTGTTCATCCTCCACGTAGTCCTCGAAATCGTCGTCCAAAGTTTTGGGAAAGAGAACTGGACCGGATTTGTCGGGCCACTGGACACGTGGCTTCTGCTTGGGTTGCAGGGGACGCAGCTTCTTGGGCTTGCGGTTGAAGTAGCTGGAGTAGTCGGGTCGGGAATAAGACTTCGATACGCCCTTGTACTTGTAGTGCTTCAGACCGGGCGTGGTGTGGACCACCTTCTTTTGGTGTATGTGATTGGAGATGCTGTCGGGGATGCTGACTCTGGGCTTCGAGGGCGAGAAACTCGTGTGCAGCGATTGCTGTTGAATCGACGGCTTGTGTATGTAGTTGTGGGGCACCTCCTTGGGCTTGTAGTGCTCGTAGTAAGGATGATGAGAGTGTGCTGGTGATCCTGTGGTATAGTGAGGTCGATACTCCTTCGGCTCGTTCACAATCACCGCCTTCCAATCGCTCTCTTGCACGGCATAGGTGGGCTGCAGTTTCTGCGAGTAGTCCTCTAATTTGTGAGCAGCGGCTATTTGCTTATAGTACGTATCCCTGGCCTGCTGCAAACGATCCCTAATCCCCGGATCCATATCCATGGGCACTTGCTTAATCCTCGCATGTGGCTTGATCTCAATCAGGCTGGGAATCTTCGGATGCGAGTGTGTGAGATCCTCAATGGGTCTCTTCAAGGGCTTAATGTCCGAACTGAGGACAATGTGCTCTTGATCCTTGCTGTAATGATTGATCTTCGACTGTGAGGTGTCGTCGTTGACGTGGTTACTGCTCTCCGGATTCTCTGTGATGGGATGCGAATTGGCACCCACCGTCTTGACAATCGCATTGAAACCCTTCTTGGCATCGGCTGTGTAGTGAACCGTTCGTATGGAGCCATCCGGTTCCAAAATGCTGTAGTGACCCTTGACCCCGTCGCCATCGCGGGACTCCCACTGCGACTTCACATCGCCCGTATGCAGATCCTTGACCCCATAGCTGAAGGCATACCCCGGATGCTCCTGAAACGAATCAAAAATCGGGTAAATATGATTTAGTGCGTTTTTAAACGCTGCCAAAACGCGTGCGTTTCCAACCGCACCCAAAATTCGTACACACACTTTTCGAAACCCCAATGGCTCTGTCAACGTCTGTAGAATTTTATATGTTTTCATGACGACCAACAAATAACAAAAAAAAAATAAATGCCAAATAAAAAATGAAACAAATGCCATTTTTTTGTGTCAAGGCAAAAACGCGTGCTGTGCACAGTTTGAGAGCCATTGGAGGAGGCCTTTGGGTTGGGTTTTTGCAGTTCTTGGGGGATTGGGTTTTCGTTTGATCTGCAGCCGACATTGAAGTCAAAGCAACAAAATAAATATTAATTAGAAGAGAGCGGCTTAACCCTAGAAAGCCGTATAATAAGGTGTTCAAAGCGCATACATCTTTAAACTCCAAGTTTTCTCATTGAAAACTGTATCACATTTTAATTGCTTTGAATGTAACCTTATCATTAGTGATAATAAAAGTGTTAAATGCAAATGACTTTAATTTAAACTTAAATGACATTCTAGATTGTTATTTATAGCATAAACGACACGCATTAACCCCATAAAGCCAGCCACTAAACAAACCGAAAATTTACATAAATTCAATTAATATAAAATGTAGAGCATTCGGTGTCACTTGGACACGTTGGCTTTACAGTATATGTGTGTGCTTGTGCGTTTTCCCCTTCTTTTTTGGCACCTTCAGTATTTCTAAGGCAAATTGCAAAAGTTTTTCGCATGCTTTGGCGCTGGCTTCAATTAAGCGCAGACGTCCATAAATGGCCACGCACACAAACGCTAGCTGTTTTAATCTTTTTCATTTTCATTTTCATTTTGTTTTTTTTTTTTTGCCCCTCTTGCAGTAGTCAGTATGGGTAACTATTGGTTTCTTTTCTGGCGGTTACTGCTGGTGCTGCTGCAGTTGTTCGCTGCCTATCAATTTTAACTCCCTGCTCCGCTGTCGCTGTCCGGACAAAACAAATGATTACAAGCGAGTGTAACCTGAGCGGCAGCCGTCGCACGCATGTCCCTCTATGTTTAGGCACAGTGAAACCTCCTTATTCAGAGGTAGATTGCATAGAAAAAGAACAGATGTGGCAAAGCCCTAAACAAACAGATCATTTTTGGTATACTTCAACATGACATTAAATTTATACCGTCATGTGATCCAAGAAATTAGAAAATTCTTCCTAGTAAAAATAAAATATGAAACTTAAAGTGCCATTAAATTTACAAATTTTACATGTTTTTAATATAACCAACAATCTTAAATAAGTATGTATGTGTAAACAATGTGGTTTTTTTGTTTCTGTTATATAAATTTTGTGTGTCTAGTTTATTTAAAAGGGAGATTAATTTTTAAAACTGTTTAAACTCTATTTTTTTAAAAACAACAACTTAAGAAGTTCTAAAAAAGCACAATTGTGGCAGTACTATTTAGTTAAGCTATACTGTATGTTATAAATATATTTGAGCGCCTGGATATATGGAGGTTTTAATAAGAGTTGCATAAGGCGACGCATTGGCGCATTGGCGCAGTGGTCGCCATTGGCGCATTGGTAACTGGCCACCCAAAGAGATCATTTGGAGCAGCGGCCACGGTTGGTGGCCAATTTTGCGGGCAACTTTTGTGGGTGCGTGTGAACTTTAACTCATAAATTTATGGGTGAGCAATTTATGATTTGGCTAACTGGGCGTATGCGCAATCACTCCAACTCCGATCCACAATTACATGCAAATTACGCATACGCGGCGTTGTCAACATTTTGACAACAAATCGCCCGACAGATCGTGGGAGCACACAGCACGCCACACCGATTTTGAATCAAAAATGTTGTGTGACAGACGCGACAGTTCCAAAGGCGTTTACCCGTCGCAGCGACCGACAGACAGACAGCATGGAAAACATTTTAACATTTAACATTTTTGTGATACGAAAAAAAAACAGTTACAAAAGAAAAGAATTCAATCTCGCCTTCGGGCCACCTTTCGCTTAACTCTTTGGCTCGTAGGTGCAGCAGCCACAAGCTGAGTTATAAAGCCATATATGGCGCCCCCAATCGTGTGTGCACGCAAAACGCATTTTCGCATTTTCGTATTTACGCATTTTCGCATTTTCGGCTACCTGCCAGCTTCCACCACTTAGCCCCCCCTCTCACGCTGATTTTCCCGCTGAAAAAAAAGACAATGGATTGGAAGTCAGGTCGGGCCAACAAGTTGATTTATGTGGGCGGCGGTGGAGGCGGTTTATGGCCATCGAAAGATTTAGTATCGAACATTCGGCACATACTCGCACGACAACATTCACTTTCAATGGCGGAAAATGCGTTTTCCACGATCGCAAGATTAGCGCTGGTATTTATGCGTTCGCAGGGGGATTTCGACTTAAACTGCCTTGATGTATTAATCGCTGGCTGGTTCCGCTCTACTTTCCGATAGATCGATCAAATTCGTAATTAATTGTGAGACGTTATATGATTTATTTGATTCAAATGTGACCTAACGATCATTTTTGCGGACAGCTGTCCGCTATTATTACGCTAAAATATTTTATTTATTTGTTAATATTTTCGCCTAAAGCCTTTATGATATATGGTCGTGGGCTTAACAAATACATTCGATTATTTATTGCCTAAAAATTAATGTGTGGGCTATAACACATTTTCAAATATTCTTAAGAAGATTTAACTAATTTTTATGTTTTTTTCTTTTTTTCATAAAAATATAAATGTTAAAACGGTGAATACACCCATGTTTTTTTTTATCAAATCTCTATTATTTATTTTGTTAAATACTTATTATTTATTTAAAAAAAAACCTGCACATAAGGACATGCTGATTTAAAATCTTTTATTCAAAAATCCAATCAAAGCAAAAATGGTTTTTTTTTGACTGAACTGTTTATTTTGTAACTGCCTTGAGATTAAACATTTGAACTTGGTGACAGCGTATTTGATAATGATTGCTATTCAATCAAAATAAATAAATTACGGCTTAAATGTATTTTAAGTTTCCAAATATATAACATATCCTTAAAAGGGAAAATCAAATTTTAAAAATTTAAAATAACTTTAATTTAATTGTAAAATGTTCAATACAAATTAAGAACATTGAGACATGAAAGTCTTAATTGATCTTTCCTTTAATTTTTCCTCACTGTGTCTATAACTAAACCAGATAAATAAATTCCTGCCACGCTCTCAATGGGATTACTTTTTTGCCTTTTTCGGTGCTGGCTCACTTACATATTGCGGGGCGTACTCCATGGTTTCATCATCGTCGTCGGCCACCACAACAGGTGCCCCGCCCCTGGCCGCATTTATGGGCGGTGGGCGTGTCCACAGGCAGATCAAAGCGAGCAGGATGGCCGGCGGCAAATGGCTCGTTATCTGCAAAAAGGCATTTAAGCGGAATATGAATATGCGGTTTTTATCATTGCGAGCGCTTAATAAACGGAGCGATAAAAAACAAGTTAAGTAAACATACCAAAACAGTTAATAAATTGCCTACAAAATTATTACGCGAGCCCATAATAGGAAATAAGAGCAAATAGGCAAGGGGACCGACAAAAATAATTAATTGGCCAACGAACGGAGGAGCGTGTTTCGCAGATTGGCCGGGATTTCATTTTCATTTGCGCAGTTTCATTTGTAACTTCATTTTACTCGATCGCGATCGCGATCGCGATCCCAGACCATGTCATACAGCGTTGTGACAGTTGTCAAATGGTAATGGCAAAATACACCTTGCCGTCCGAAATCCAAAATTAGGCAGACAGATAGACACCGGGGCGCACATTTGTATCGAGCATATATGACAGCAAATGCCTGTCCGGCGAAACGAATCGAAACGAAAACTTTTGGAGATTGATGGCTTTGCTTAAGACCAGTAGTCAGTGGTCAGTAGTCAGTGTAGCCCGTGTAGCCCGTGTAGCCCAGTGCTTGCCTCGATTTCGCGATGAAAACGGGCAAACGGGTCTGGCAGGATACCGTACAATTCAATTTTCCCAATTGCAATCGCCTCGCATTTGTTTCTTTGCAAATTGCAAAACCATTTTTTGGACATTTTTGATTTTCGATTTTTGGTTTTTGGTTTTCGGCTGGGAGTTGCGAATTGCGAGATCGACGGCCCAACCTCGATTGGCATGTGTCGCTGCTTTGGGGAGGCTTGGTTTAATTAGCCATCGAGACGATGGCCATTCCATATCGCTTCCGTCGAGATTTGTCAAGAATGGCATGATTGGCATGCCAGCACAATGCGACTAAACAAATGAGGCGAAATGAGGCGTTCAGCATAGCACACATTGCTAAGTAAAATAGGTATTAACCAATCTGCAAGAATCACGCTCATATATATATATCATATCATTGCCTATACATCTAAATATGTTAAAATGTCATTTGTCCTAAAATGTACCTACATATTTCATCATTTAAATCGTTATTCCTAAAATTTTAAGCCAAATTGACTTCAGAGATAACTTATTAGTATCGCTAACTAAATGCATACAATACAATACAATAGTTTCTCAATGTTCTTTAATTGTTTTAATAATTAAAGAGTGCTATAAAATGAACAGCAACAAATAAACATTTTTTAGACCTAGAATCTAAATCTGTTACAGGCTTTAGGGACAAGAATCAAAACTCTATAATTATATTATTATGTAACACTTTAGTTGAATATTAAAATATATATACTCACACATTTTTAGTAATTTTTTTATCTTTTACTAAATGAGCAGAACCAAATAATAATTGCTTAGACTAAAGTCTGTGATAAGACTTTTGCGGTATAAAAATCTCAAACGCTTTAAATAAACTATTATTTCACAATATTATTGTATACTGAATATGTATTCTTGATTTGGGAATAACGAAGTTAATGAATTTAGAGTTTTACAGTAATTTAAAAATATTAATGGAGAACAGCTCAATTTCAACCAATATCGGTTGTAATTTAAATTTCTTGATTAATTATTTTACAAATTTATCTATATAAAACTATTTTAAATAATTGATATCCTCTTATATCAATGAGCAGTACACGAAATTAAGAACACAAAATCCACACAAAATGCTTAAAATCTACTTTTAAATGTTCACTAAATCCTTTAATTGATCTTTAAATATAGTTTTTATTACTCAATGTACAGGAGTTGGATTTGCATTCGTGTTTATTTGCTAGACTTTCACTTAAAGTGAAAGTTTGGTTATCTTAACTTTCGCTCTCGATTTCCAATTGCCAAAAAAAATGTGGCTCAGTAAACAGCAAATGAATTTGTGATTTTATTTATTTTCCATCTTAAACAACACTTACATAGAACCGCATGTCGCTTTTGGTAAAATAAAATTTCAACTATTATACGAAAAACACATTCACTGATCACTGGGCGTTTTAAAACGCTAGCAAAACGCGCTGCAGTCGCTCCTCTTCGATCTTCAATTCGATGCCGTGGTTCAATGTCAAGGACAAAAACGTAATTAAAGCGTTGGCGCGGCATTGCCAAAGTATTTATAGATGAAGACGAGGACCGGCACAAAACGCTGAGCTTCGGTTTCGTTTCGTTTCGTTTTCCCGGCGACAAGATTTTCCGGCTTCACCGGTTCCACTTCCAACGTCCAATATCCACCTTCCCACCCATCTACCATCCCACCATCTACCATCCAACTAACAACTTCCAATTCGCAACTGGCCAGACGCAACCAACTGCGATGAGCAACACATTGCAGATTAAACATTGCAGATGGCAGATTGCAGCTGCTTTGTCGCTTCCTAAGCTCGCTCTAATTGACAATTATTGGCTGAAACCCGTTTAGCCACCGATACTGTCATGCAACCCATACTACATTGTATATATATGTACACATATATATATTCCCTGATTTGGGCGGTCCAACTTTTGGTTTCAGGCGCCGCCGTGCGGCAAGTAAAAGTCGTCGCCGTTGTCGTTTTCGACGCTTCGCTGCAGCTGTCTAATGGCATTATAAAATTTATACCTGCCAGCATTACGTTTCGACTTTACATAAATTAATGGCGATTTGCTCTGCGAATGTGTCGTGTCTCCACTTTGCCAGTTAATCCTGGTAATCCGTATTCAAATCAAGTGCTGCAGTCCAGCACACGAAGCGGTGCTACAAATTATGGAGCTTGGGAAAATTTCCCAGAGTCGTATGTTTGAGGCGGAAAAATTAATCTATATTTTCGGTATGGTATTTCACGATTGGTTAAATGACTTTTCATTGCTATTATAGTGAAAAATGCTTTGTTTTTAAATTGTATATATTATATTATGGAATTTGTACATACCATAATTCCTACTTCTACTTTTTAACCAGCCTAAATATGTTGGGAATTGTGCCGGAAAATTTCCAATTGAATTATGTTTTAATATTCTTACAGTTTTTAATGCTTTTTAGGCATTATTGGTCTTTAATATAAGTTAAATCTTTAAAATTTCTGCTAACTTATAACTATTCGTTTTCTTAAGTACGTTACGGAAAGGAAAATCTGTCTGTTCATTCAGTATTAAAATTTTTATTAAATTAAGAATCATTAATACATAGTATTTACTTCTAATGCAAGCTGAAATATTTATTAAGAGAATGCTCAAAACCTTAGACAAACAAACGTTACGTTTCTGACCTTACCTAAAACATAAATTGTCTTAATTCGACAGTGATTTTTCCCCCCAACCACCTAAAAATATTAAAAACGTATACATTTTCGGCTATAAAAGTTATTTTAATAAAAATAGATATTAAGACAAATACTACACGTGTAAAAAGCTTGCTTTAGTCAGGTTATTTTGTTGCATTGTTAAATATGCTGTTTGTTTCAGATCGGTTTCGTCCTGGCAATCCATCTCAGAGGTCCTTGAATCAGTGCAATTGCTTCACGCTCACATAGCTGCTGGCGTGTCCTCCGTATCCGTGTCCATGTCCATGTCCGTAGTGGGCCACCACATCGTGACCATAACCGTAGTCGGCTCCATAGATGTCGCCATGTCCGTAGCCCTTGTGATAGACCTGTGGGTGGTGGGCGTGACCCAGTTTCTTGACCACTGCATTGAAGCCATTGTGGTCGTCGGCGGTGTACTCCACCACTCGAGTGGTACCATCGGATTCCTTGAGGGAGTAGCTGCCCTTGACCTTGTCGCCATCCCGGGTTTCCCACTGGCTCTTCTGATCGCCGGTGTGGGCATCTTTCACACCATAATCGAAGTGGTATTTGGGATAGTGATCTACCTCGTGCTTTTCATATCCATAGCCATAGCCGGAGTAGCCTGCACTGGGGTAACCATGGCCGTAGTTGCCTCCGTAGGCACTGATCACATCGTGATCGTATCCATAGCCATAGCCATGGCTCTTGTGGATGGGCCCCTCGTGTTTGGTCACCGAACTGTAGCTGGTGGCATGTCCTCCATGGGGAAACGCCAAACTTCCGCCCACCAGAAGGGCAAATAACAGACCGCCGCAAAAGGATTTCATTTCGTGCACTGCAATCGTCGTTGTTTTCCAATCGGAACTTTGATGATGTCTGATGGTTCTTAGGGGGCCCATCTACTCTTTATATACCACTCCAAAAGTGTGGGGCAATAAACCATCGGGTGGTCATTCTCTTGGCCACACCATTCACCATTCGTGCTAGCTGATTTGCTAATTACCTCACTAATCCATAATTATTATTATTGTTTTGGCCATTGAGCTCTATAGAAAATCGATCACATTTTATATCAAAACCAAATTTGTTACAATTATATTCTGCTGAAAATAATTAATTATAACAGAATCAAAAGGTGTTGGCAAGTTCGTTAACGTTTCAATAAGCTTGAACTCTAGTTAAAGAGAAGGGCCAAACTAACGTAAATTCTTAACGTCTTAATAAGCAAAAATTTGAACTGAAAAAATAAAAGCAATAAGGAAATGTTTATCTACAAAAATGTAACAGGAAGGCCATTAAAAATGTACACTATTTTGTTAAGGAAAACTGATTAATATTCTGTTTGCATTGAACATTTTTTACTCTCAATAAAAATTTTGAATAAAGTATAATTAATGCGTTTTAAATAATATAAAAAAAAATTCGCATTAATTTAGGACTTTTTAAATATTACTAATTGTAACAGTTTTATAAAAAACTAGAATTTTTTCATTTTATAATTTCAATTTTAAGATTACTTAACATTAAACTGTACAATTCTCAAGAAATTTAGAATAATAAAGTTTAGCTAAACAAGATGGCCAAAGCTTAAGTCATTTACCAGAAACTTAAACTTATTTTGTAATATTGGTATAACTTTGTATATTTTCCTAGCAAAAAAGCCTCTAACCTTGTTAATTACAAATATTTAGAAAAAATTAACCGCTCTTTAGTGATTTAAGACCAATTCGGAAGCTTTGGGTGCCCCACCGCAGACCCCCTGGGCAGAAACACCGACCGATTCGACTGTCCGCCCAGCCCTGCCCCCTCCCCCTTCCCCTTCCTCTTTGCCACCTATCTCAAGGTCATTTGGCGTGAAGTTGGCGAAGAAGAGGGGCGAACCCAAGAAACGCAGCGAGGCGAGGCGACTATTGCTACGTAATTTGAAAGCGGGCCACACTTGTTGATTGATTTCTAAGCAACAAAAACATAGCAATATAGCAAGCTTTGCTTTTATTTTTATTTTTTTTTTGCTGATTGGGCGATGTTCACGCCCCGTTTATCGATGTTGTTGTTTTGTGAGCCACATTTAATTTGCCAATCGCCCCAGCAAAGATTATGAATACGAATGAGGAAAAATGAAAATTTGCACAAAAATTCGAAGCATTTTTCATACCTATTTTTTGGGACTCTTACTTTTTTCTAGCCTATTTAGCCTCGAGGGTAAATGTAATTAATCGATCCGTAGAATGGGCAGAAGTATAAAAACGTTGGGCACTGTCTACCGACTATCACAGTTCCAATTGCGATTTAGGCCAAGCAAGTCGATCAGAAACTAACGAAAATGGCTCACAAACTAACCATCCTCTGCTGTGCTCTTTTGGGAGTGGCCGCTGCCAGTTACATTCCCCACGGAGGACACGATCACGGATACAGCATCCAGACGCACCACGAGGCACCCAAGCAGTGGCAGGATCACCAGCAGGATCACCACTCGTGGGCCCCAGTTCAGGATCACCATCACCAGCAGTGGGCACATGATAGTCACCAGCAGTGGAGTCACCACGAGGAGCCCCACCAGCAGTGGAGTCACCACGAGGATCCCCACCACCACCCCAAGTACGAGTTCGACTACGGAGTGAAGGACACCAAGACCGGGGACATCAAGCAGCAGTGGGAGACCCGCGATGGCGACAAGGTCAAGGGGGGCTACACCATGAAGGAGGCCGACGGACGCACCAGGATCGTTGAGTACTCCGCGGATGCCCACAACGGATTCCAGGCCACGGTCAAGCACGTCGGACATGCCGATCACTACGAGCACAGCCACGGACATGGACACGGACATGGACATAGTCAGGAATACGGACATGGACACGGTCATGCCACCAGCTACGCCCATGTCAAACAGGACACCAGCAGCAAGTGGGAGGACAAGAGCAGCAAGTGGTGGTAAAGGAGCTAACCAAACTGACTGATAAACCGATTCGAACTTACTAAATTATTGTAAATACAAACGACAAAATTGAAAACAATAGTTGTAAATAAATAAAGAAAAGCAAGGTGCAGAAAATGCGATAACTTATGAAATCAAAACAATTTTGTATTCATTGAAAATATTTTTTCAGCTTAAGCTTTCCAGCAGGTTGGCTGCTGCCTATATTTATTTTCTTCAATTAATTTAGGTTTATTTTTAATGACAGGAAACTGACATTCATTGACATAGAAAAATGTACAATCCGACAGTCCTATAACAATTGTTTAGTTGATTAGCTGTTATGTAAAATTAAAGTTTATTCATTAAATGTGTCGCTTTCTGGAATGATAGATTGATCGCTACGATCTCAATATAACTTTCCGGAAAACCCACTAAAGCTCTGATTTTTGGAGCATAAAAAGCCGAGTCTTGGATTTACTGTAAACGGTTAAAAATTTAAAATTCCATTTTTTTAACCAATTTATTATATTTTTCAAAAAGGTAATTCCGGTTGAAGGTATTAGAACTGTAAAATACTTAGCCCATCCCAAAAATTCGAAAATAAAATCCTATATTTTGATCTTATTAATACATTTCAACCCTTTTCAATCTTGTAAGCAAATCTTTTAAGGAGTTTTTAGATTGAGAACCATTCAAGCTACAGATTGGTCTGTCCCAGTATTTCTTAAAGTTTATTCTAAACCAAATAAGTTTAAAATAAACCGACAATAATTCAATTTTGATTTCATATTTTATCGCATTTTCTGCACCTTGCTTTTCTTTATTTATTGTAAACAAACAAAACAATAGTTGTATTGTTTTCAATTTTGTCTTTTGTATTTACAAAATTTAGTAAGTCCGAATCGGTTTATCAGTCAGTTTCGCAGGGTGATCTACCACCACTTGCTGCTCTTGTCCTCCCACTTGCTGCTGGTGTCCTGTTTTACATGGGCGTAGCTGGTGGCATGACCATGTCCATGTCCGTACTCCTGACCATGTCCATGTCCGTGTCCATGTCCGTGGCTGTGCTCGTAGTGATCGGCATGTCCGACGTGCTTGACCGTGGCCTGGAATCCGTTGTGGGCATCAGCGGAGTACTCGACGATCCTGGTGCGTCCGTCGGCCTCCTTCATGGTGTAGCCCCCCTTGACCTTGTCGCCATCGCGGGTCTCCCACTGCTGCTTGATGTCCCCGGTCTTGGTGTCCTTCACTCCGTAGTCGAACTCGTACTTGGGGTGGTGGTGGGGATCCTCGTGGTGACTCCACTGCTGGTGGCTATCGTGCGAGGCCACTGGTGCCCACTGCTGGTGATGGTGATCCTGAACTGGGGCCCAAGAGTGGTGATCCTGCCACTGCTTGGGTGCCTCGTGGTGCGTCTGAATGCTGTATCCTACTGCGTGTCCGTGATCGTGTCCTCCGTGGGGAATGTAACTGGCAGCGACCACTCCCAAAAGAGCACAGCAGAGGATGGTTAGTTTGTGAGCCATTTTCGTTGGTTTCTGATCGACTTGCTTGGCCTAAATCGCAATTGAAACTGTGATAATCGGTAGACAACGCCTAATGCTTTTATACTTCAGCCCATTCCACGGATCGATTAACTACATCTACTCTCGAGGTTAAACGGGTGGAAAAAAGAAAGACACCGTGAAATAGGTACGAAAAATACTGCGAGTTTTAAGTAAATGGAAATAAATTATTTGTAGTTTGTTTTACTATTATTGTATTTGGTTTACTATATGGAAATTCGAACTTTTCCATAGAATAATTTAGTAATAATTAGTTAATCATTTCGATCTTATCAGGCTGACTGGGCGAGGCAGATGTGGATGTCTTCTTTGAGTCCAGAAGTCGTTGGTATGTCTGCTCACTTAAGCTGGTGCGAAAGATCTCTTTCATATCTTTCGTTGTGGTTTTGAAGACCTCGACTTGCTCAGAGAAGTATTCCCAAAACTTGTCTTCCGGGCCGGGCTCAAGGCCAAAAATTTTCATGAAGTCGTTATATAATTCAGTGGACTCTTGGCGAATGACCAGATAATCTTCCTTCAACTCCTCCTCTTTGGCCGCAAATACACACAGCGCTCGGATATTTTGAACGTATTCCGGATTACGAATAAGCATTAATTTGGTAGGCTGCATCTTCTTTATCTGATCGAGGATCTTTAAGCAGTTGTCTGGATTCCGGGATGCCAAAGATTTCCCCAGCTGATTGAAAAGATTCACGAAATCGCGTTCCGTGAGTAAAGCCGCCTCGTGGTCAAGCAACTGCTTTTCGAAACGCTTGGACTCGATCCTTGAAACCAGCATTTGCTTCGGCTCCACAATTATTCTACCGGGCATGTCGCCTGGCTTCAACCGACCGCACTCCAGACCCAGCTTTATATCCTCGGCCTCCAAGTGAGCCTTTTCCATCCAAGTCTTCTCGGCGGCGGCGTTACTGAACTTTTTCGGCTTATTCCATTCGATGTCGATGCCAAAACACTTGGAGATGGGAACGAATGCCATCAGGACTTTTTTTTTTTGGGATCGATTAGGCTTGCGAGGCATTTTTCTGCTGTCCGTCAAGTTATTAAAATGAATTGTGAGGTTTTTGAGGAAACTATTTTCAGCGCCTACTAGTCGAAACATCGAAGCCGTCTTCCTAAAAAAAGGGGTGAGATAGGTGAGTATGAAAATCAAACGAATCCAAAAAAAAATACAATTTTTCCAAAAGCAATCAAAAATTTGTAGCACTTACTTGTTGCTAAGTGTATTTAATCTACATTTGTATGCATTTTACATTTGATTTCGATGCTATGAAGGCGGCACCTAGCGGTGACTTTCATAACTTTAAACTGTGAGATGCACTGCTTACCTATATGGTAAAGCAGTTCTTTCAAAATTTTTGCGCGGCTCTAAGATTAACTTAAGAAGTTGAAATATTTAATTTAAGCTTTTTAACAAAAATAAGAATTTTAAATAAACTAGCTTTGGCAGTGCTGTTATTTGAAAGCAAGCTTTTAAAGAACTAGTTTTACTTTTTGCCAATCTCTGTTGCAATAGTCTTTAAACAACCTCAAATAAGCCAACCATAGTAAACTTCAATCCCACTGCCCTTGTCAACTGGTCAAACCATTGATGGAATGATGTCCATCGCAAGCCAAGGCATCTTGCCCTCGTCATATAAATTCATCAATTAAACATTAATTTATGCCGTGAAGCAAAGTTTTGCGGTCACATAAATCTGCGAGCGTTGTTTGCCCGGAGTTGTTGGTCGGAAACCAAACAGAAAATGCCTGAGGTCAGGCATCCCGGGGACCAAAATGATTGAAGCCTCCACCCTGAGAGAATTCCATTGGCAATGCTTCGAGGATAAGACTGCCACCGAAATGTAAATGATGTTGAAACATTTATCGGTTACAGAGAGAAAATCTCAACGCTGCGATAAGCGACAAACTGTTGACAGTTTGGATTGGTATATGCCGGGGATCTGGCCGGATTTATTGACCAAGCTAGTAGTGCATATATGTGGTTGGTTGGTTGGTTGCGAGACATAAAGTGGCGAGCAAAAACCCTTTGCCTTTGGCTCATAATTTGCCGCTCCTCCACACACTGTCGTCCAGTCTTGGTCCTCCACCTCCAATTTTCCGCCTTTATATGGTTTCATTAAAAATGCAAATGAGCAGTGGAGATTGCAATCGTGGCAGCCGACCAGGTGGGGTCAAACGAAAAAAAATGAATCAGAAAGAAAAGCTCACACAAAGACCGAAACGCAGACCTGAAATTTATGCCAAGGGTTCAGGGACTGAAATTTATTGTTGCCATCGAGGTACATCGAATATAAAGCTTCTTTTGTCCTGGAAATAACTCATAATTCTAGCAGTTTCCTTTGAAATAGTGATAATTAGCTAAGAGAAACTATTTCCGCATTTGGTATTGGTATTTCTATAAATTTTTGCTAAGTCGAGTTTGTTGCATTTTTTTGTAAGGACATTTAAATTTTACGAATAGAAACAACAAAAAAAATTCTATTTTAAAATTTAAAAATAGTGAAACTTTATAAAAACTTAATAGTACAGGAACGATAATGTCTTCATATTTTCATATTATAAATTTAGTGTAATAAAACAATTTTCTATCCTGTTTTATTCTAAATATTGAAATGGTTAAATTTCAGAAATTTGCTAAAGAATTAAAAAACTAAAAAAAGAATGTATTTCATTAATTGTTTGTTCCAGTTAGCAAAGTTTGACTGCACTTTCGTTTGCCTTGCAGTTAAAGGCAATTCATTTATCTAATGCAGGTTTCTGCAAGTGTATTTGAATTGCATTCTTTCCGTAATATAGTACTGTTTCCCCTTCAACCTTTTTGTTGTCGTTGGGCCAAAGGCGTTCGCCAGACACAGAATGGGGAAAACTGAAACAGAGACGGAGCCGGAAAAAAAGGAAAAGCAGCTCGAAAGCCGAATTAAATCGTCGAAAGTTCAAAATGAATGAAAAGCAGCTAGCGACGAATAAATGAATGAAACGAAAATGAATCCCAGAGGGAGGTTTTCTTGGTGTCGGTGAGTGGAGTGAAAAAGAGCAGTGCCTGGAATGACTGTTGCCCTCCTTTGGCCCCTCCAGTTTTCAGTTGCCAGTTTTCCGCCGACCATCCTGCCCAGTTGTTATGACAGACGGGGCTTACGGAGTGCAGGGGGCACCGCTTCGCTACCAACGGAGTGCGGGAAAGTTTCGTCTGATTTCGGCGCCGCTCAAAGTATAATAATGTGATCCGGCGATCCCAGCATCCACCTTCCTTAACTTCTTAAGTTAGATAGTGTTGTCATTGGTTTCGTATTTTATTGCTAGAATTAGTTTAAATATTTATTAGTATTTGACAATTTGATTAATTACAGTTCTTAAAATTATTTACATGCAGAATTGACAACAAATCTTTTGAATATTTTCTTACCCTTTAAAATGTATTATACATAGTTAAAGTTATTATAGAAATTAATCTATAATAATGGTCTTAAGCTTTTGTTAATGGCACAGTTGTCGGTTAAAGTTAATAAATAACTTAAATTTATAATTAAAATTCAATAAATTGTTAAAGTCATTGTTCTCTTTTCAATTTTTCTTAATCTTTTTACATTTATTTATTTTTGTTATTTTAATTGTGTGCGAGACACGTGTTCCTATTCGGCTTGGTTCCCTCAGTCTCAAAGTATCGATACATTTCTAGAGTTGTGTAAAGCTTAAGGCTGCTATCGATTAGTTTCGAATATAACTTAATCATACTTACTTACATACATAATTTATATATCGTTCTTAGCAAACATCATATTTAAGATGGTTTACCTTATAATTAACAATCAACTTATCAAAATAGCACTGCATTTTTTTGTGTTATTATTTTTGCCACCTAAATTTTCGGCTGCACTGCCGCCTTGTGCCGCAGTGGGCGTGGCCAGGGCCCGGTGGAAAAGTGCATCATGGTGGCTTGTGCTGCTTCAAGTGCACACTTTCTCATGGCTTAGCACTTTGGTGCATGCCTCGTTGGCTTTTGTAGAGCGGGGTGCAGGCTGAATAGAAGGGGAAAGGCAGGATGAGGCTTATGCAACAAATAATTTAATTTTATGCTGCATACAAAAAGGCGCAACTGGCAAACGAACGAAGCAAGCAACCAACCAACAGACCGACGAATGAACGGAGAGGCGAAACGACAACGGAAATGCCACTTTACGGCCTGTTTGACGGAAAAGTGGACGTTAAGTTGTGAATATGATGATGGAGATGAAGAAAGTTGATGATGATGAGCACGATTATGGCCATGGACCCGCCGGCTGGCCAAGAGCAACAAGCAACGGTCTGAAATATGGCGCATACGCCCCGTGGGACGAGAAGCTCACAAAACAGCAATGAGGTCAGCCCATAAACTGGCCTAAATGTCATATCAACTGAAGACATCCTATGAACGAACGGGAAGTGACATCAAAACGAAGGATTATGACATAAAAACGTACCCAGTGGGATGAATAGATGAATTTTTTGTGGTTGATCATCATATGAATACGGTAATTGGATTGTTATTTGACTGCCTGAGTTGTAGTTGTTTGTTGGTTGTGGTCTTAAAAGCTGAAAAACGTTTGTAAAATATAAGAGTATATATTTCTTGACTACAACTACAATAAGTTTAGATAACTTTATACAAATTTTAACTTGAAAATTAAATTATATGTATTACTTTATTATCAAAGTTCGACCTAAACATTCTTTGCAACCTTTCTCTGTTTTTACTTTCCTCAAACTCTCTTGATATAAAGATTAATGTACATATAACCACTAATTGGTGACCTCATTAAATTGACAACCATTAACCAAACAACTTCTATGACCATCCATTTACCATCGGAATGACCCGGATTTCACGCCCTTTTGGGCAGCAGACAAATATCTTAATAAAGCCGAGGTCGGCAATCAAATAGTTGAAGCGCAAAATATAAAACATAAAATATGATTAACATATCAAATCCAACAGCAGCATTTTTGCCAACGCAGGCACAAAAAACAATAGCTTTACATGATTGGGTTCGGACCAAACAGCAAAAACAGAATAAAAAAAAGGCAAAGGATAACGAAGCATGGAATTTGGGTCTGAAACACCAAAACTGACCGCCTCATAAATTCCAAAAACAGCAGCAGCAGCAGCAACAGAAACAATATTAATATGAAATTCAACGAACGAAACGGATCAACAAATGAGCAAATATCAAAACCTATAAAACCATTTAGTTAGATGAGCGTGAAACTCAGTATAAAGTTTTCCTTTTTTTTTTTTTGGGAGGATTTGTGATCCACTTTAAACGTGAGGGAATTGAAAGTGGGGTGAGGTAGATTTCGGAACGAAGGATGGCCACAAATTTTGCAACAACTGTGCGGCATTTTATGAGTTTGCCACGCCCACACAAACACACACATGCACTAGCACTCACACACACAGCAAGAATGGCAGTCATGACACTTCTGGGCCAGCGTTAAATAACATTTAAACAGAGGCCCAGGACACGTACAAAGCAAAGGGGCGGCGGAAGGAAGAGGGGCGGTGCAAATGGAAGGATGTGGCCGTGGATATGGCGTAGAAGGATGCGGGTGCACAGGAAACAAAATTCTTGACTTCTTCCAGTTCGTTAGATTCATCAATTGATCTTGAATAAAAATAAAATAATATTCCAAAGGCTTTTTTATTTTCAATATTCAATAACATACATATGCCATAACAAGACCATTTTGATCCAAATAGATATGTTTTCAAGTTAGAGAAATAGGTTATATTATATGTTATATGTAATATGTTCCATAAATTTTCTCGCACTTAAATTTGGATGTTTTTAAAAACATATTGGCTACAAGCTGTAAATTATACTTTAATAGCTTGTAGCCCAAATGTTTGTAATATGGAATAATGTATATTCTATTTTGAAAATTGTTTTTATGAGACTTTCATTCCCGGTGCATAGACCAACATGACACAAGAAGGCTTTG